TGGCTCTCGGCAGTGCAGTGACACAGAAAGGTCTCTGGCGGGGCGCGGACACACACCGCGCGGCTCTTTCGTGAGGCTTCTGTGCGGTGGGCTTCGCGGAATCGTCAATCGTCGCAGTCGCCGCCACCCGCCGCCTTTTGGGGCTTTTGGGTGGCTTCTTTGCGGTGCACCCACTGTACCATCGGTTCAATTCCACGCGCCGTCGCACCCCGCCACAGCGGCCTGGCCCACCCCGCCCCGCCCCGCGCCGCAGCGCCGGGCCCGCTCGCGGTCGGCCAAGGACAGTGCGTGAGCGTGCACGTGCCGGAGAAAGGCAGCCTGCGCGCCGCGCCCCGCCACCGCCTGGCCACGCCACGCTCCTGCACCTGCACGCGACAATGACCCGCATGCGTTTGGAAGACGCCCGCCCCGCGGCACGCCTTCCCCGTGTCGGCGCGGCCGGCGGAATCCTGTTCCAACCGGCCGCGCCGGATTCGCTGGATGCAGCGCAGCGGCCACGCCTTCACGGTGCGGTGGCCTAGGTGGCCTGGCTGGCCGCATTCCCATGGCTCTGCCACACAGTGGGCCAGAAGACCGGCGGAGGCGGCCAAAACTCTAGACGCCAAAACTCTAGAAATGGGACTCGAATCGAACGTGTGACCCCACCAATGGATTCCCCGTTCGGAGAGCAATCCATTGGTGGTGTCACACATTCGGTTCGGGTGCCATTTAGCGACTCTGGAGATCAAAACGCGTCTAGAGTTTTGACCGCCTCCACCGGTCTTCTGGCCCACTGTGTGCCACTGCCACGGCCTCGGCCACGGCCGGCCGCAACGGCGGTTTCAAAGTTTGCGCGCAGCCACAGCCAGCCGTGCTGGCGGTCAGCGTGGCACCCAGACGGGGCTGTCGGCGACAAGGACTAACAGGGGTTGACGAGCTGCTGGAATTTGTCCGCAGCGCGCACAAAGGCGCCGCTCGCCTCTCAGCGTCCTGTGTCCTGCGTCCTGCGGACCTTGGCTGGGGCAGCGCGTGGCGGCGTGGCGGCGCCTCAAAGACAGACACGTGGCGCCCCGTCGGGGCGGAAGGCTCCAAGGCGGAGCGCCAAGCGCCAAGCGAAACCGCAAAGGATTGTCGGTCAGCAGACCGACTCCGAGAGGCGTTCTCGTCGCTCTGTCTCTCTCGCTCCTTTACCGGACGCGCCATGAGTGTGAGAGTGACAGAGCGACGGAAACGACTCTCGGAACTAGTCCACAGGTCGAGCCAGGTGGCCTGGCCGCGGACCGCGGAAGCTGGCGGGGGTTGTTTCTCAGGCCTTCCGTTGTGTACGCGGTGTGGTGGAGAGAGAGGGAGGGAAATAGAAAAGGAGATTTGGAGTGGGAGGGGGCAGCCACCCTACAGTTTAATTGTCCCGAGACTTCCTACCGGCCTTTGCGTCACTCGCCCCCGCCCTCCCTCCCCCACCCCCACCGCGCGTGCTGCTGGGGGCCTGTCCTCCCCTCGCCGCGCCCTCGCCGCGCCCCTACAGGGCCCTCGGTGGCAGGGGCGCTCAGGGGCAGGCAGGGGGATGAGAAGGGTGTTGGGTCGAATCCGCGTAGGGCCTAGCGGGCCCGCCGCTCCCCGCCCCGACGGGACGCGGAAGTGAAAGTGCCCGGACGGCGGGGGAGGGGGAGGGGGATGGGATCGCCAAGGTCACAGCCCCCTCCCCTGCCGCCCCCATCTGATCTTCCGTCATGGCTTCTGAACCGTACTCTTGGGCGGCGGAATTTCACTCGCGTGTCGATTGGTGGCGCTACTTTTCCTCCTGGACCTCATGAAAAATGGATCATACTTTTTGGCTTATTGGCGGCGAACGTGAACGGGGTGACGGCCGCCAGCACCACCCCGTCTCGCAGGTTGGGCCCGGCATCTGGTCCGCGCCACTGTAGAGCAAGCCGTCTGCGACCAACGCGGCCCGGCCGGCCGAACCCTGCTTCCCGTCCGCGTGTGTCCTTCCCTCGATTACGGTTTGTGGACTGCAAGCGCGCGAATGGGGGTGGGGGTGGGGGTCCTCCGCGCGTAGCGGCGTGGCGGCGTGGCGGCCCTCCCCGGCCCTCCCCCTTTCGGGAGGCACCCCCCGGTGGTGTGAGGCTGCCACGTGGGCGTCTTTCTCCCACCCCCGACTGCCTCATAAATGTTGGCCAAGTGGTAGGGGGCGTAACCGGGGCCAAGGTTCGACGCGCACCCCGCGCCCCGCACGCACGCCGCCGGGCTACCCTCGTGCTACCCCTGGAGCTACCCCTGATGTAATCCAGTCGGCCCCGTCGCCGACGTCAGGGCCAGCCAGCGGCGAGCCGGGCAAGCCGGAGGCTCCCGGAGGACTTTATTTCGCAACTTTTGGCGGCTGTTTACGGACCGTGTTGACTTGACCCGGGTTCGAGTGCGGCCGGGGACCGGGGACTGGGGACTGCAGACGCCGTATTTGCTCTCGGTGTGGTGTTGTCCCGTGTTCCCAGTGTGCCCTCTCCGCGCGCCGCCCACGGCCATCCCCTTGTCCGCCAACGCGCCAACGCGCCGCCGCCCATCTCCGGATTGGCGGCACAATGGCGCCCAGAACAATATCGCTCGAGATGATCCCCCGCCGCCGCGAGGAGTGAGGAATTGGCCGCCGTGCCTCTCGGCGCGCCGCGCGATTTCTCATCCCCGCCGCCTCCGTCGCCTCCGGCACTGAGGCCCTTGTCGCCTCGGCTCGGCGACGCGGCGGCGGCGTGCCTATTGTCGCCAATCCTCGCGGAAGCAAGAGAAAGGTGGCCGCTCAAAGGGCGGATAGCGGGGCGGTGTGCGACGGAGACGAAGGGCCCTGGCGACTAATTGTGCGGCACAGCCAGGCACAGACCCGGCACTGTGAACGCCACGTGCCTGGCTTCCCGAGCCCTTGGCGCATGACTCAGGGGCCGTCGTCGACGCCGTCATCGTCCTCGGTCCACGGCGCCGTGACGTCGCCAGCAGCGCGTTGGCCCGCCTCGGGGGTGGCTGCTGTACACCCGGCCTCCATGCATAATAGATGACCACCACTGCATTTGCGTCCGCGTGACGGCCCCACTGTGTGACGGCAGCACCGGCAGCGCTACCATTACCTAGCGGACTCTCACACCTCCGAAAGCCATCTGGACGAGACGTCAATCGCTCGAGAAACTCGAGGAGGCGCGGCAGGCCGAAGACGACGACGAGGACGACGACGAGGTACGAGTGCACGTGGCGAGGCCCGAAAACGCGGGCCTCGCCCCGCCTCGCCCGGCGTGCGGGGGCTCCCAGCAGGGCCCCTCTAGGCCCCGCCCCGCCCCGCCCCGCCGAGCCCCGCCACGCCCCGCGCTAGGCCCCACGCGAGGGCACCGGGCACCGCGACGGCCTTGATGAGTCCGCCGAGGCCGACGTGCCGACCTGTACGTGGCTACAGCGAGTAGTGCCTGGTGACCGAGCCCGTTGTGGGCGCGGCGTGGCGGCCGAGGCCGTGTGTCGTCGTTTGCGGCGGGCTGGCTGGCGTGTCCGAGGCCGCTGCTGCAAAGCCCGCGGCTCTACGGCTCTGCGTCGGAACGCGGCCGGGCCAGGCCAGGCCGGCCCCCACCCCCTTTTTAGAGGCGGAACCAGCGTGACGGTAAATTCAATTCGACGGGGCGAGCCTCGGCTTTGCGAGCGTTGCGGCAATCTGGGCCACGGCACGGCCACGGCACCACTGGTGCACGTGTGCCTGTGCGGCCAGTGTGCTGGCCTTGGTGTGCTGCAGGTGCCGAGGGCAAGGGCCGCAGGGGCCGCCGGGCAGGACGGTGGGACGCGGCGGGACGGCACTGCACTGTTTTATTTAGTCCATTCAACTGGTGCTCGTCCCGGCCCGTCCCGTCCACGCGCAGCGACGCGCACAGCGACGCGCGGAGCAGCGGAGGCCTATTAATAATTCGGGAGACATCCGCGCGACAGCGATGGACCTCCGCGTCCCTCCCCGTCAGGCGGTCGTCGCCGCGGCCGTCGTCTGCTCGCCGCTGAGGGATTGCTCGCGGCTTGTCGGATGAGTAGGGCGTGACGCTGGCCCGCCAGGGCGAGGCCGACGAGCGGTTCTCTTGCGTCTGTCTCGCACTGCTAGGGCGGCCCCACGAGTGCGACAGAGACAGAGAGACGAACCGACTCTTGGGAATGGGTGTGCTGCACGTGCCGCGACGACGCGGTCCTCGGTCGTCCCGCGACGCCGCGACGCATGGTGATGACCGGCGCGAAATGCGACTCGTTTGTTTTTTTCCGGCCGGGGAGCGCCGTCGGCAAAAACGCGCCGCGCCGGGCGGGCCGGGGCCGCTAGCGGGAAATAAAATGCGCTGCTCCGCGCTCCGCCGTGCGGCGAACGGCGGCCCACAACAAGACTGACGTCATCGCCGCGGGGCGGAGCGGGGCGGAGCTCTGACCAGCCGCCGCTAGCCGCCTGCGCTCTGCGCCGTGCAGGAAAATCCTGACAAGTCGTGAAATTGCCAGACTGCGACATGTGCGTCTGCCAGTGTGCCAGTCTGTCAGTGGCGGCAAGCGCGCGTGTGCTCGTGCGAAGGTGGCCGCGGCGTGGGGTGCGGTCTGGCGGTCTGGCACCAGCAGGTTCGTTCCCAACAGTGCTTCGTCGCTCTGTCTCTCTCGCACCCCTACAGGCTCGCCCACGGGGCGCCGCGTGCGCGAGAGAGACGAAAGCACACTGGGGCGGCGACGCGTCGTCTGCCGGGTGCATGCAAAGCAGGGCGGCGCGTTGCATCACCTCGAGCACGCCGAGCACACCGCGAGCACTACCGGAAATAGGCTGGAAAGTGAAGTGGCGACTCGATCGGGACGGCCGATAGCACGGGGGAAGTCCCAGTCCGTCTGCGCGGTGACGCTGTGACGCTCGTCGGCCTGGCGCTGAGCGCCGCCGTCTGCTGCATCGTGAATGCACACACACACACACACACACACACACACCACACACAAACACACACGAGTATGTCACAGGCTAACGACAGTGTCTTCTTTTGCTGCAGCCACGGCGCGCCTGGTCCGGTCGGCCGAGAAGGAGGACGACGCCGTCGTCGGGATGGTGACCGCCCCGGCCGAGGCCCTGGCGCCGCCACACGTCGTCCGCGGCCACGCCCTGAGGGGCGGCGCCCCAGCTCGCGGGGCACGCGCAGTCGGTAAGTAAACGGAGCGGGCCGCCTGACCGCGCGCCGCCGGACTCGACCTTCTATTTGTTTTCGATGCTGCCGCGTGCCGCGCCGCCTCCGTCTCGTCCGTCTGCCTTTTCGGCGGCAGGACGGGGATCTGGATGGACTGCGGGGCGAGCGGGCCGGCCGGGACGCGGTAGCAGAATCGATTCGGAATGTAAAAACATTTGGACTGAACGCAAAGGGCACGCCCGGCAGGCGCCCCACCCCGCCCCGCCCCGCCCCGCCCCGCCCCGCCCCCCCCGCCCCGCAGCGCCGTGCTCCGCCGCCCGACTACACGTGCCGGTTATTTGTAGCCGTCGGACATCTCTAGTCATGAGACGGCCCGTCGGCCGGCCCGGCCCGGCGCGGGGCGGGGCGTTCTCGCGGGACTCGTGCACCGCCCCGTCGGCCGAAACCGAGACCTCGCCGTCGTACGTGACGGCGACCGTGTGACGGTGCTGGTGCGCTCGTCAAGCCTCCGCGACGTCACGAAGGCGGTGACGCCATGGCGTGACCGAGCAGGTGCATGGCCTCTAAAAGCGCCCCCATTCCCACTCCCGGGTGGGCCAGAAGACCGGTGGAGGCGGCCAAAACTCTAGACGCGTTTTGAGCTCCAGAGTCGCTAAATGGGACTCGAACCGAACGTGTGACCCCACCAATGGATTGCTCTCCGAACGAGGAATCCATTGGTGGGGTCACACGTGCGGTTCGAGGCCTCTTTAGCGACCCTGCAGCTCAAAACGCGTCTAGAGTTTTGGCCGCCTCCACCACTGTGGCGCGCAACGCAGCCACGCTGGGCGCCACGCGCCCCGGGCGAGCGCCTGCGAGGTAGGCAGCACGGGGACAGCCGCGCTCGGCGGCGCGGCCCGCCTGCCGGGCGGCAGGCCGCGCAAGGCGAGCCATGCACACGTGCACGCGGAACGCGGCGTCAGGGGGAAGGGGGGGGGGGCGCACAACGCTTTGGTGGGTCGGGGACCTCTGGAACAAGAAAGACGCGCACCGTTAGCGGCGTAGCGGCGCGGTAGGTCCGCTGCACTTCAGGACCGCGTCCCACCTGGAAATGCAAGTGGCGAAGCACTCTAGAAGTTAATCTTTCGCCATTGTTGTTTTTTCGCCCAGCTCCTCGTCCCGTTTCGACACCAGCAGGTTGTTGGGGGCCTCCCCGCGGTCCCTGCCCGTGCCTTGCCCCCTTCCCTCGCCGCGAAAGTGCTATTGGTGCCGTTGGGAAACCGCATGGCGCTGCGCTGCGTTGGGCTGCTCGCTGCGGCCCGGCCCCGTCCAGGGCATCGCAGGGGTCTACGACCGAAAGGCCCAACGGCCCAACGGCCTGACGGCCTGACGGCCCCGCCGAGCGGCCGACAGGAGGTTAGCGCTGCACGGGCGGGGCCGGGCCTCCCAGCCTAGTCAGAGAACTGTTCTAGAGTCCGAGAACTGTTCTAGAGTCCGAGAACTGTTCTAGAGTCCGAGAACTGTTCTAGAGTCCGAGAACTGTTCTAGAGTCCGAGAACTGTTCTAGAGTCCGAGAACTGTTCTAGAGTCCGAGACTTTCTAGTCCAAATTCTCGTCTTTCGATATGGCTCTAGAGCGAGGAACTGTTCAGAGCGAGAACTGTCTAGAGCCGAGAACTGCGATCCGAGATTCTCTACAAACTAAGGGACAAGGCTCTACAGATGCATACTCGCAAGTACACGCATACAGATGCATACTTGCTAGTACAATCACGCATTCAGCGGACAGCCCTCGATAGGGGAAGAAGTGAGCGGCTACCCCCTCCCTCGCCCTCGAAGGGAAGTGGCAGATGCAGGGTCGCAGCCGCTGAGCTAGTGAGGGAGGCATGCTGGAGGACGGGTACTCCAGCTGAGTATGACCGCTGTAGAGCTACCAGCTACTTGGCTGAACGATGACCACTCCGGCGTATGCATCCGCCATTTAAGTGGATGCACTCCTTCTGCCGTAAGTGTACTTGCAAGTATGCATCTGCAGACGCACGCCGAGTAGCACGTACTTCAGTGTCTGAGAGCTGCTGGCCATTGGGCGCCTAGAGTACCAGAACTGTTCAACGACTCTACCAAACCCAGTTGGTACCTCACATGCACACCGCACTCCCTGCAGAAAGTGAGCGATGACGATCATCATCTAGCGACCAAGAGTCTCTCTATCTCTCTCTCTCTTTCGCACTTATGTGGCGTCTGAAGAAGGGAGCGAGGGAGACAGACCGAGCGAAGCGCGCCACCGCGCCGCCGGCAGGGACTCGCGGCATCCGAGGCGCAATTTCTCGGTACACACTGATAAAAGCCCCGCGCGTCGCGTCGCGCCTCTTTCCCAGCCCAGACCGCGGCGATACTTCTCCCGAAATAAAGAGTCCACGCACTTTGTGCAGCCGGCGAGCAGCCCGTCTTCGATTAGGGAGGTAAATAGAAGTGTAGCGCTATCTGCGTTCCCCGCCACTCCCCGCGCCCCGCGACGCGTGCAGCGGGGAAAGTAGGCAGAGGTGGCGAGGGGAAGGGGGACCGCGGAGGGGGGAGGAGGAGGGAGGAGGAGGAGGGGGGAGGAGGAGGGGGGTTACGCCAGCTGAGCAGTGACCGCGCTGCGAGCACTGCGAGCCCAGCGCTCCACGTGGCCTGGACGCCGACCACCGACCCGCGCCGACGCCCCCCGCCCCCTTCTAGACCGTGCGATGCTTTCGTGTAACGCCTCCCCCCCCCCTTCCTTCGCGGTCGACACGTGTTTGTGACGTCACCCTCGGCGCATGGCCCATCCGCGCGGCCTAGAGGGCCCCGTGCTGCCTGTGTGTGCGTGCGGGCCCTGCGGGCCGCGGCCAGTGTAGTGGGCCGGCCCGCGGTTATTCGACTCGGTTCGGTTCGGTGGCTTCGGCTTCGGCGTCGTTGCCGCGGGTCCGCGCCGCTGGTTTATTTCGAGGAGCTCGGCGCGCCTCTAGCCACGGGCAGCAGGGGCAGCCACCGCGGCCCCACGCGTGGACTCGCTTTTGCCACACTTGACTTCCCCGCGTCGCGACTCTTATCCCCTCCCCTCCACCCTCCCCCCGAGTCGCAGTGTACAAACCCTTCCAGGCCGCCGTCACGCACAGCGGCACAGCGCGGCATGCGTCCGCCGTGCGCCGTACCGCGCGTGTCCTGGCCGTCCTGGCGTGACCTGCGGCGCGCAGTCAGTCGCGCCTACACGTGTATTACGGCTTTGGCGACGCGGGCACACGCGCAGACTCGCGGGTGTGGGCGCGCCAATGCTCACATAGACAGGCGCGCGCGCGCGCGCGCACACACACACACACACACACACAACACTAACACACACACGCGCGTGCGCGAAAAAGGTCGGCAGGCTAACTGAGTAGGTCATAAGATACACCTCAGGCTGCTGAGGCACTCTTCCGCCTCGCCGAGGAGGTGTCGCGGTGGCGGTGCCCGCTTCCCGCGGCGAGGCGGTGGCTGCATGAATGCCCGGACCGCGTGGATGACGAGAGCGTTGTTCGCCCTCCCGCCTCGCCCCGGCGTGTGTCATCCCCCATTGCGCCTGCCGCCTCGTCGCCTTGTCGGCTTGTCGGCGAGCGGGGCGGAGGGCAGGACCAGGCAGGGCAGACTCGGGGAACACGATCACGACACAAAGTCGTGCCGTGTTTCGCAACAAGCCTGCCTGCTGCCTGCCTCGGGGGGACAAATTTCGTCGTCCCCACCAATACATTTCTTTCTCCTCTTCTCTCTACTTTTCTCTCTGCCTGCCTTTCGAGCTCACGTATGCGACGAGCGAGGATACACACACGCGCAAACAAACACACACACTAGCGACGTACATTTGCGAGGCGGAGACGTTTTCCTTTTCGTCATGGGGCCGGGCAGGCCGGGCCCGCGCGCACGTGTGGGTGTGTGGGTGTGCCCGTGAGGCCACCATCGCCACGTGCATGGTCCCGCACAGGAAAAACGCCGCGTCCGCGCAGTGGCTCCGAGGCTGTGCTGGCACAGGACGGCGCAGGCAGGCTGGCGCCTCTCGCGTCCTGATTCTAGGACAGCCCGCCCCGCCCCGCCCCGCCCCGCCCCACCCCGGCCCCGCCACGGGGCGCGACCCACCGCCCGGTCAATGCCCCGGCCGCTAGTTCAGCTAGGGCCGCGATGACGCGAACCGCGGCGTGCGAACTGCGGCCCCCTCCCTCCGCTCCATCCGCTGACACCGCACGCCTTCTTTGACAAACACCGGCCGCCGCTCCGCGCCTCGCTCCGTGTTCTTATTGGTATGGCCAACACGGCCGCGGCGGCGCGGGCGTGTCACAGTGGGCCAGAAGACCGGTGGAGGCGGCCAAAACTCTAGACGCGTTTTGAGCTCCAGAGTCGCTAAAGAGGCCTCGAACCGAACGTGTGACCCCACCAATGGATTCCTCGTTCGGAGAGCAATCCATTGGTGGGGTCACATGTTCGTGTGACACGTGCGTGTGACAGCCCGCCGGCCTCGCGCCTCCCGGCCCGCCAAAGGGTGCGGTACGCGGCGGCGCTGGCGGTCTGGCTCTGGCTGGTCTCCATCGCCACCGCACAGTGGGCCGGAAGAAAGGTGGAGGCGGCCAAAACCCCGGACGCGTTTTGAGCTCCAGAGTCGCTAAACAGGACTCGAACCGAACGTGTGACCCCACCAATGGATTCCTCTTTTGCAGAGGAAAAAGAGGAATTTCTCCAAAAGAGGAATCCATTGGTGGGGCCACACGTTTGGTTCGAGTCCTGTTTAGCGACTCTGGAGCTCAAAACGCGCCTAGAGTTTCGGCCGCCTGCACCGGTCTTCTGGCCCACTGTGCACCGCCAAGTCTACGAGTTGACCTGCGGCTCGACCCGCGGGTGCCCCGACGACGCGCCGACCGCTTGCATTGCCTACATTACCTGCTTGCAGTGCGAGGCCCGGCCGGCCGAAGTGCCAGTGCCCCGCGGCCGAGGGCCGGGGGGCGCCGAGGCCCCATTGCATTGTCCGCGACGCGCCTCAAACAATGCGCGCGGCTCTCTCCGCGATTAATCGGGGTCCGCACACGTGACCCAGAAACGTGCATGGCGGGGCGGGGCGGCGCGGGGCTAACGTCGTTCACGCGTTGGCACATCGTTGAAGCGGACAGGCCATTCAGTTCGGGTGGACGTCAATCAGCCCCGCTGCAGGCTGACGCCGAACAGCGGCTCAGCGCTCTGTCCCTCTTCCACCATTCATAGGGTGCCGAGGGGTGCGAGAGAGACAGAGCAGACGAGTTTGGTTCGGAAACAGCCCGCTGCACGCCCCGAACGTTCCTTTCACGAACACGGCGAGCTCGGCCACCGCTTCGCGGCTGCTTTTGTGTGTCCGCCAGCTGGCCGCGCCGCGCCGTGCCGTGCCGTGCCGAGCGCTTTCCGACCCAGGTCCAAGCCGCCAGGAACTCCAGGAGGAGGCGGAGAGGCCCGCGAGGCTGTGCGGCCGGTCGTTGACTGCAGCATGCTCCACCTCGCGGAAGGAGGAGAAGGAAGGCGAAGGCTCGCGGGCATTACCGCCTGCCCGCCGCGCCTTGCCGCCAAGCCGACCGCGAAGCGCGAAGCGCGGCCGAGCCCCGCGAAGCACCGCCAAGCCCGCGGCGCGGCCCCGGCCGGCTGGACTCGGCACTGTTCGCCGCGGTCGTTGTCCTCGCCGGGACGTCTAGGCGCGGCGCCGCGTGGCAGTGGCGCTGCGTGGCCCCACCTGGGGCACCTGGCGGGGTGGGGCGCGGGGCGGCGGGGCGCCTGGCGGTCACGCCCATGCCTAGCGATTGCGCCCTTCGGACGCTTCGCACGCCAGAGCCAGCAGCGCCCTGGATTCCTGGAAGCAGCACTGCCCAGCCCCAGGCGGCCCCAGGCGGCCCCAGGCCCGGTGTCGCCGTTTCACCCGGCGGAAAATCGGTCCTGGAATGTCTTTTTCGGGCGCGTGTGCAATCGGAGCCGGCGTCGCCGCGTCGCCGCCAGCGAGGCGCTCTCCTCCTTTTGCTGTCGGTCGCCTTCCGGCCTTCCGGCCTTCCGGACGCGCACCGGAAGCGATTGGGCTCCGGTTCACCATCGCGACGACGGCCACTTTGGCGCGCTCTTGCTCTTTCCCCTTTATCGCCGCACCGTGGAAGAGCCCCTCTCTCCTCTGGCCCTTTCTCTGTCTCTCTCGCAGGCAAATCCGGCACGTGCCGCAATTATGTGCGTGAAAGCCCCCGGGGTTTTCATTGGTTTGAATGCGCGCGTGTCGGTGTGTGTAAGCGCCAGTGTGTGTGTGCGTGCGCTTGACAGAGTGCCGTGGGGGGTGGCGGCGGGGCGCGGCAGGGCGTTGGGTGGTGCGCGGGGTGGCTGCAGGGTTACTCCGGCCACGTGTCGCCTCGCCGCCCAGGACCGGAGGGCGGGGTGGCGGGGCGGGGCGGGGTGTGGGCGGGGTAGGCCCGCTAGCACGAACAATGCCAGCAGAGACGGTTCGCGGCCGGCTCTGTGGGGCAGCGGGCCGCCCCGGACGGACGGGCCAGAGCCCTAAGGGCCGAGGACCCGGAAGCGGAAGAAGGGCCCGCAGCGCCGGCAGCGCCGGCAGCACGCACACTGGAAAGGGCCAAAGGGCCGCTGGGGCACGCAGCCACGCACCTGCAGGGCCCTTCGCCATCGCGCACTGCGACTGACTTGCAGGAGTCGTGTACCGCTATGCTTGTGCGTGTTGTTGTTGCTGGTCACCGAGCCACGTGCAGTAAACTCATTACTGTATATCGACGCTGTTTTCCGGGCGAATGGTTGTTGTAGTACTTCGTACTTGGCCCCACGAGCGGCGCAGTAACTGCGCGCCGAGTCATGCGCCTCGCGTGTGCGGGCGATTGTGTGTGTTGGTCGTTGGTGAGCGGCAGGGGGTGGGGGATCCTACACCTCCAAGAGGGCGCAGCGCAGCGCCTCCACGTGTCGAGCCTGCCCCGCCGCGCCCCGCCCCGCCACCCCGGCCCGCCAGCCCTGCCCGTGCGACCCACTGACACAGCAGCGCTAGCGGCGCCCTTCCCCGCTCCAAGGTTGTGAAATCCGGCGGCGGTGGTGGGGGCGGGGCGGGGGCGGAGTGCGTCGGGGGAGGGGGATGGGCTTTCCTCGTGGCAGGTCACTCACCCCGCCTCGGCCGCGGGGGCCGCGGGGGCCGCGGGGGCGGTACAGGGTGCAAAAGGAGGCAGGGGGCTGCGCGGGGCCCCGTCTTCAGAGAGGCGGGCGGGAAAGCACGCAGGCGAACGGCAGTCTATTTGGCGAGATCCGCGATGTAGTAACAGAGTGACAGCCAAGAGCGCGTGCCGATTCGGCCGAGCCGCTCGCGGGAATCGCGGAAATGTTTGCTCTCTCCGCTCCGCGCCCCTTTGGCGAGTGAGTGAGCCGCGGCCGCTCGGCGCCCTCGGCCATGCAGCCCCAGTGCCGCGGGGGACACCACAGAGCTTCCTGATGAGGTTTCCAGACGGACTCCAGTGCGACCCGCCGCTCCAGCTCGCCTCACGGCGCTGACGGCGGCTTGCGGCGACCGTGGCAAGCCGTGCGGCCGGACGGCGGATCCAGAGGGACCGCGGGGAGGAGGAGGAGGAGGAGGAGGAGGGTGAAGCACCCCACGCGCATTGTGGGTCAGCCTCGTGGCGCCCAGACGCCCCGCGCCCCGCCCCGCCGCCACCCACGCCGAAACGAAGGAGGAGTGCGCTTTTGGGCGGCGGAGGGGTGTGGTGAGGTGCGGGGTGCGGCGGGGTGGTGCGGCGGGGCCGATGTGGGCCCGTTTAAGGGGCGCCAACGCGTGTCCTTCCCCTCCGCAGCCACGCGACGACTACACGTGGAACGCCCTGAGTTTACGCTCTGCACGGAGAGGCGGAAACGGCCTGCCAAAGAAGATGGGTGGCCCCACTGTAAGCCTGGAATCGACATACAGCTTACCCAGAGCAATTCTACGGCGATACGCCCGGGGCAGCTCTCGCGGTTCCTCGCCATGAAAATGGTGTGGCGCTGCCGGCGCTGCTGGCGCCACGCGCGCACCCCGACACACGCAGCGTTTGGCTTGTACAGTCGCGCACAGTGCGCCCGCGGGGATTCGAACCGCCGTGCTGCCGCGCTCTGGAGGCACGTGGCGGCTCATCCCTCATCGAGCGGCGTGGCGTGTCGAGGGGGAGGGGGGACCCTCAGGGGGCGCGGGGGGAAGCCCCACGAGGAGCGCCTGTGTGCACGATTACGCGAGCCCCAGATTGACGATGTGTTTGACCCGTGTTTGCGCCATCGTTTTAGCTCGTTGACTTTCTCCCCCTCCTCGTCCCCTTCCCCTTGGAAGCCGCCGGTCCCGGGTCCTCCGCGCCGCGGGCTCCACCGGTGTTTGAACTGGCGGGGGCGCGGGGCGCGGCGTTGGCACTGCGAGGGAATACATCCCAGGCGGTGCGCGTCCACGTCGCGGTGCATGTCCCGTGTCCGCCGCACCTGTTGCCAGGACGACGCCGCGATGCGCTTCGCCGTTATCGGCGACCTGCACTCTCCTCGGCCTGATTGGAGTGCGCGGAATGGTGCGGAGTGCCGCCGGAGGCGCTAAAAATAATGCGCGGCTTCGGGACCTCGTTCGGGACGGCACACCATCGCGAAACGCATTCTGTCTCTCTCGCACTCGCAGGGCGTCCGTCCCGCGGGGACGATGCCGACTCGGGCAGAGCGGCGAAACGACTTTTCGGAATCGCCAATCCCCCGGCCGTCGCCGGCCGCGTGGGCAGCCGCGGCGGCGCGGCCGGCCGAAGGGTGGCCTACCTCCCGGGCGCGCGCCTCCGCGCTGTGCAGTGCACACGCAGTGCAGTGCGCCGAGCGTGCCGGCTGTTTTGCGGTGTCGTGGCGGGGGTGGGGGTGGGGGTGAGGGTGGGGCCTCGGGGGCGTGGGCGGAGGGTACGTCGCATCGCGTGGGCGAGGGCGCCGCCCGGGGGGGGGGGGGTACCGCAGGGAGTTTCACGCCGGCCGCACGGAGGTTTTGCGAACACGTCACCACCGCTCGCCCACGCCAAGCAGGCCGTCGGGGTGTTGAGAGTGCTGGGCTGAAGCTACCCTTAGCGACGGCCGTCGGCTGGGCTACTGGCTTTACGAGCCCGCCCTCGCCTCGCCCACGCCGAGCTCGGCAGCTCGCTCTCGCGCGTGACTCCGAGGACTGTTGCGTTGCACGCTGCACGCGCCCCGCGGCCTCGTCCCGGCCGCCACCCTCCGCACCCTCCACGCGCTAAGTGAATGAGGCGACCGCAGTTACAGCCTGGCGGCCTGGCGGCCTGCCTCCACGTGGCGCCGTCGCTTTCACCCCCACCCCCGGCGCCTAGCGCCCTGGCCGCCCCGGCCGCCCCGGCCGCGCAAGCCGCGCAGGGTGCGACGCGAAGGGCGGCGGGGCGCCATCTAGCGGCCGCACGCCGAAGCTGGCGTGCCGTGCCGACTGGTCGGACTGGTGGTGCCGACGCTAACATCCGCTGTTGTTCTCGTTGCAGTGCTGCGGAGAGTGGACGGAGTCGACCCCCCCGAGTCCATGGCCCTGGTGCAGCGTCAGAGGCGGATACTGCAGCTCCATAAGGTGAGTCCCAGACAAGGCAAAAGCCCGAGTCCGGGTCTGCGCGAGCGCAGCGGGAGTCTCACTTACGGTGGTTTGTCCCTTTGCAGGAGCGCTGGCCGTGGTCGCGCATCCCCCGAGAAGACGCGCGCGTGCCCGCACCCCACGAGGCCCCCAAGACGGACTCGTCACCGGTAAGTCCCTGGACTGAGGGCAGTTGTCATCGCTCTGCCTCTCTCGCATTCTCGTTGCGAGAGAGACAGAGCGACGTAAACGACTTGGAATCGGTCTGCAGCCGCCACTCGGTGGCGTATGCGAGCCCCTTACCGTCCAGCGTGGTGACGCCGCTCTTGTCCTGCCGCAGACGCTCCGCCAGCTGACGGAGCAAACGGCGGCCCTGTGGCGCAACAACCAGCAGCTGCAGCGGCGCCTGGCCGCCCTGCAGGCCGAGACCTACGCCGCGCTGGCCAAGAAGAGGCCGACGGCCTGCTCCATGGGCGTGCTGTCGCCGCCGTCGTCGCCGGAGTCGTCGTCCTCGTCGCCGAGGCCGTGCTCGCCACCCCCTTCCTCTCTGCCGTCGTCGCCGGCCTCCTCCTGCTGGTCGTCACCGCCGTGCAGCCCGGCCGGCAGCGACCTGGACGCAACCTGGCGGTTCGGCCTGCCCTACTCGCCGGGCAGCCCCGGCGGCCCCGCCAGCCCGGCCAGCCCGGACTTCAGGGCGTAGCCGCGTAGCTGGGCGGCGCGGCTGCTGCGGGCCTCCCCGGCCCGCCTGCTGGATCGGACTGGAGTACGCATTTTCGTCTTCTTCGTGATGGATGTCGGAGCGAGTGTTGAAAAGATCTCGAGTAGTTCTTCTAGGAAAAAATATGTAAAAGTAGGCAGGCTATACGCCAAATCAGATAGGCCTCTGTAGACTCTTCCCTGTACAAGGCACCTTTCTGGTTTGTGTATTCGTCTAGGCGTGCTATCCAGACGCCTGATTAGGTTTCCAATTTTTGTATTAGTTAATTAGGTGAAAACTGCTGAAATGTTTATTCTTTAGGGCATTATAGCAATACGGATATGACTGCGGATTTTCATTGCCTTTCGCTTGCAGTTCTCAAGATACGAAAAAATGAAAACAAAACCACAAAAAATATGACATTTTAGCTGACTGTATGTCAAAATAATTTTTGTGATCGAGATCCCAATGTTACTTGTATTGTTATTCTTATTGAAATTGACAAACTGTGGCCTTCTTGTTTGAAACGGGCAAACAGCCCAGCCTCTTCACCTCGCTCTTTAATTTTCTCAGTACTGAAAGGCCTACGTTATCTCGATGATTTGTTGTATTTTTGAAAAGTGGCCTAGTGGGTTTGTATGGACATGACAGAAATTCTAAGCCAGGGCTCTGTGAATGGTGGGACCCGCCGAACTACTATTATAATTTATTTGAACCCTTCGCCAATTGAAGTTCAAAGTGCACTGCACCAGGAGCATTATAGTTTAAGCAATATACCATTGTTTTGTTTTTGATTTTGGGTTAAGAAAATTGGACACTCAGTCCCAACAAAGCAATCAAAAGCGGAGAGTGATTGACTCGGTGCCTCGTGCCCTGAGGATTAAAGAAATATCTCATATCCGCCATTGTGATATTACTGAATTTCTTATGATGATTCTGAAGATAGTGTAAGATTGCATGAATGAGGCACACTGAACGTGACATTTCCTCTCATTTACGCATTTAAGAATGTGACTTCACGATATGGAAACGTGTCACGCTCGTTCGTTTTCAAAGTTACTTTAGAATGCCGACTTACCATAATGACGAACTAATTTAGACTTATAAGCAATCAATACCAGAAATGTACCGGTGCTTTTTCCAAACTGCGATGTGCATTTACTCATCATTTCAAAAGTAATAATATAGAGTACGACGAGGATTTAATTATCAATGTCCGCCGATTTTCAAATATAAACAAAATGCCACGGCTGAAAAAAACGAACTTTTCGACACTCGTGCAGTGCTTTTTTTCCACCCGGGTAAAGTTTGCACGCTAAGTATTTCAGAAATTAAAGCTCACACGTACAAATTTGTTAAAATAATGCTCTCTGCAAGCTTTTAAGCATGATACCGATGCAGTATTCTTAGAACTTACGTTTTTAGCAGTGTAATCGTCACTTTGAAGTACGGTGCGTGTTTTTAACTCAATCCCTTTACGCGGCTTCGAATTTTTTCAGTGTTCAGTTTGGTTTGCAGTATTGTTTTGATTTGGCGTGCCGGGGTTTCATTTCTCAATTCGATCGTCCTAGTGTGGCGCGTGCATTAAGCAATGTATTTCGGTCGTGTCTCTGTTTGGCATACGAGACGCGATCTCAATAGCAATAAACAATAATCTTCTAAAAACAATCTATCATGGAAAAATCCTTGAAGTAGTAGAATTTTCGCCGGCATCTTGGGTAAAAGTAGTTCTTGCCAAGAATATGAAAACGGGTAAATGAGTCAATTTGCTATGTCATGCTTGATTTTCATGTTATTGTGGGTGGAAATCAGAGTCAGGAGGTGTGTTGTTCTTATTAAGTTGTAATTCAGGGCATGTACGAGTATGAGTAATTTCGAGTAATTTCTAATGTATGTTAACGATATTTATTATGCACATAGTTGTAAAATTATATACATATATATTAGCTGTTGTTTCGGATTTTTAAAACTCCGTTTTTTGTTCTTTTTTAAAACGAAAATACAAAAAGTACCTAGAAACATATCAGTTATGATGACACTAAGCCACATGTTGGTCGGCGCAGTCTTACGGCATGACACCAACAAAGGATGAACGCGCGCATTTGCGGGTGTCACTAGTGCACTTAGATGTTCGTCCTCAGAGTTTGCTGACGTATCTTCCATTCCAACCTCATTTTTCGTCGAGAATACAGGTGGAAATTTAGAGTCTGAATATTCACGATACTGTTTCCTAAAGGGCGCCGGCAATGGTTGTGTATCCGGTATTGCCTGTTGCGCAGACGCTTTAGGAACACCCATTTACGCTGAAATTTTAGAAAAATAGTATCGAACTTATTAAACTGGGATAAAGATATTTTCAGATATTTTTGGAAATGTCATTTAATTTGTTTCTTTCTACGGTTTCTGATAATAGGCGTACGCATAGCAATAATCGTAGTTCATACTGTTGTTGTCATGTTTCTAAATGATAACTTTTATCATTCGTTTTCCATTGACATATTTTAAAGACCTTGTTCTAAATTAATTGAAGTAGCAAATTCTATTAGGTGATATCAATTGTACTCGCATTTATTGTGTGAAGTAGCTTTAAAAGTGATTGAACCGGTCTCGTGGATACCGGACGAGATTGGATACAAGTGGATGTACTGTCACAAATCAAAATCGGCTTTCGATAAACATATTATTCAAGTCTCTCCTTTTTAAAAACTAACTTTCCTTTTGTCAAATTTGCCTCCCAGCTGTGAAGTGAAATACATAACTTATTTGTTGACGCGAAATCGTTTCGTCCATTGATTGAAACCCGAACCCGACACCACAGCCGACGCTGAACGGATTGCGCCCATAAGCACGCAGCGCGCACGGCGTGTGACAGCGTTACGTGATGCGGGCGACGGCCGGGTGAGAGCAGACAGCGGAGGAGAAGGGCAGAGCAGCAGTCAGAGTGTTCGTCCGTCCCGCTCTCCGCGCCCCCCTCTCACTCTCACTCCCACCGCGTCCACCGCGTCCCTCCCCCACTCCGCGTCGCTCCGCGGCGAGTCCTGCTGCTCCTGGGGCGCGCCGCGCTACGCCGCGCTACGCCGGGGCTTGGCGCGGGGCGCGGGGCGTGCGGCTTGGCTGCGGCTCAGTGCAGCACGGACCGCAGCCCACGCGAGACGCACGCCGGCCAGCCTCACGCGAGCGGCGGCACGCGCGTGACAGAACAACACGGCGGTGACGCGCCGGACGTAGCGGGGGCGTGTCCGTCAGTGCTGTCAGCCGGCCCGGTGGCCCGTCACTCTATCAGCCGGGTGCCCGGAGACGGACGCGGACGCGGACTCGGACGGCCGGCGGGGCGCAGGGTGGAGGCGGAGGGGTGCCGCAAGCCGCAGCCGCAAGGGAGTGTCGCTCTTCGAGTTCTTCGAGCCGGGCCGGCAGGCCGCGGTGCCGCGGTCAGTGTTCAGTGTGCGAGCGCGGCCCGATGTTGCCACACGGCCCGGGCGCTCACCGCGCGCGCCAGCTGCACCACGACAACAACATCAGCTGTTCTTGACGAGGCGCCCCCGCTGGAGCCCCGCGCGCCCTCCCCTCCCCTCCGCCTGGACCGCCAGGGCTGCCGCCGCCGAGGGTGGAGGTGACGCAGGGAGACGACTCGCCACCGTCCTCCTAGCCCAGTCACTGCTTCACCATGGACTGCATCAAGAAGAAGAAGCGGAGGAGGTAAGCAGGGAATTACCGCGCTGCTGCTCCGGGCAGTCACGTGGGTCACGTGTATGTCCGCTGGGCGTGTGTGGTCGCGGACAAACATACTCCCTAACGATGCGGTATCTGCCCCGGATTAGAAGACCTGTCGGCCTGTCACACTCACACACTCTCTCTCTCTCTCTCTCTCTCTCTCCTCTCTCTCTCTCTCTCTCTCTCTCTCTCTCTCTCTCTCTCTCTCTCTCTCTCTCTCTCTCTCTCTCTCCTCACACACACACACACACACACACACACTAATGCCATAATACAAGTAAGAAGACACCCAGTAAGACTGCACCTCTGCGTGTTCCGTGCGTCCACTCCACTGTGTGATGGTGATACTCGCTGGCACGCCATGGCTGGCCGTGGCGGTCGAACCGCGCCGGAAGACCCGGACGACCCGGACCCTGAACAAAGTCAGAGGCATTAGTGGCGGACGTGGCCGGCATTCTTCTTTGCGGCCGGCAAGCCGAACGGCAAGCCGATGATGGTGCGGAATGGAATGGAACGGACTCACTCCCCGGCAAACTTTCCCTCCGCGGCGACAACACCGTCTTGACCTCGCCCTGCCGCGCCGCCCTGCCGAACCGCTGAGACAAACGCCCTGGGAAACGCGCGGCGCCCGCGGCGGTCGGCCTACCGGCAGTCGGGGCTCGGTGACACGACACAAAGCACAAAGCAGGCAGGCGGACGCGGCGGACGCACGGCTGAATAAGTCATTTTGCTCGCAGACAGTCGAGACAGGTGTGCAGCTGAATCGGGCGGGTTCGGACGGGGTCGGCGAGTACAGTGCAGGGCCGCGTAGGGCGCTGTGTGTGTGTGTGTGTGTGTGTGTGTGTGTGTGTGTGTGTGTGTGTGTGTGTGTGTGTGAGTGAGTGTGTGTGCGCGCGCGCCCGCGCGCATTCGCGATGGCCGTGACGAGGGGGACAGCTTGATGCCGGCCGGCTGGCGGGGCGGGGCGGGGGGGGGCGGGCGGCCCCTTTCACCGTGACGGCCTCACGGTCCAGCAGCCCGGACCGAGGCCCGGACACGGGGGCGCTCCATGCTTGACTTGCCAAGATTGTGGTATCTCTGTCAATTTCCGTCCGCGGCGCGCCGCGGCGACTGCCATACTGCGGCGCGCCAAACCTCTCGCGCAAACACGCGCCGCCGTCGCCGCCGTCGCCGTGCGTCTGCGCCGTCTTGGTCTCCTTCGCGACCGCCACGCCCCGCCTCGCGGAGCAGAACCAACAGAACACGTCCCGGCGACTTTTCCACCGGCGTGCCGTGCCACCGGGCGGGCCGGTGGCGGGGCGCTCCCCCAGCACCGCGACCATGCCGCGACGGCGTCCTCATGCCCAGACCTTGACCCATCTATACACGTCGCGCGCGCCACGCCGCGGGCCAGCTGAGCGGCTGACTGTACTTGGCGTACTGGCGCGACGCGGCGCACGACATGCACGCCTCAGTGATCACGCCGGTATCGAGGAGTCAACAAACAACGACCAAATTCGATTTCTATGACTGTTGCTATACCAAAGCCAGCGCAGACGCGGCGCGGCCGGGTTTCGAACCCAGGTCGCCCACGCTGAGGGCCCGGCGCGGGACGGGCACTGACCCCGATGGCGTGGCGGGGCGCGGCGGGGGCGGGGCGCTCGGCCCCCGCAGCTTTCTCTCCCCGACGGAAGCCCACTGGAACTGGAGAGCGCCGGGCCCGGCCGGGCGGGGCGGGGAAGTGGCTCTCCCTCCAGGATGAAGGCCTTCTTCGCATTGCCGGCGCGCGATACAAACAAGCGTTTTGCCGACTCATCATCGCCGCGGGAGGCTTGACGAGGTGCTCGAGGCCCGTCCGGGGTGCAGCCTGGCTGGAGCCTGGCTGGAGCAGTGTAGTGGAGCCTGGCTGGAGCAGTGTAGTGGAGCCTGGCTGGAGCAGTGTAGTGGAGCGTGCGGCTCCGCGATGACCAGCTCGTTGCGCAACGCGACGCCGCCGCGGCGCCACCTCGCAACGCCGAGCGAGGCTGCGCAAAATAAGTGACATTAAAGGCCGCAATTCCGCCGGGCTGTGCCTGACGCCCTTGTCCGCCTCGACTTCCGCGCGACGGTGGCAGCGCGCCGAAAGCGAAAGTACGGTGCCCGCGCGTCCCTGTGTGTGTGGCCTCAAACTGCCCGTACAGTTAACCGCTCTTAAGAAGAACGAGGTATAGATGCGACAGAAAATGGCCTGAGGCCTCGGAAATGAGTACCGCTACCAGTGGTGACGCCGACTTCGTAAGCATTTCTTTCGTCCAAGAGCATTTTTCCGCCAAGATCATTTCTTCCACACAAGGGCATTTTTCTGCCAAGAGCATTTCTTCCTCTCAAAAACATTTTTCCGGCAAGAGCATTTCTCATCCTCCGTCTGTGTCCATGCCGCGTGTTGTGGGACGTCGTTCCCGCCACCGTTGTCGTCCAGGACGTCGGCACGTCGTCGCGGTCGAGGGGTCCCGACCCGGGTTCGCGCCTCGCGGGGTGCCGAATCAGCCGACAGGACGCCTTGACCGATTACCGACCGAGCCTCTCCCTCTCTCTGTCCCTCTCGCACCTGGCACTTGGTGCGTGCTCGTCTGGGCACACGGCGCGTACTATCTGCCCTCCGATGCCTTATCGCTCCTCGCGCCGCGTGGCAGCGTGAAAGTGACACTTCAGGCTGGATTCCGAACAGAGCTGTCTGTCCTTCCCGCACTCCCACGGGACACCCCATGAGTGCGAGACAGACATGGCGTCGTGAGCACCGCTCGGAATCAACTTGCTGCAGACGACTAGTCGCTTGGAAGAGCTCCGTCCGTCGAATGGGCGGCCTACCCGCCGGCGCCGCTGCCTCGCTGGCAGCATGGCTCCTCTTCAGGCGAAGGCCGAGACGGCTGTCTTCTTCTTCTTTGGGGGCTCGACCGGGCCCGGCTGTAGGACTTCAAACCCAGAGCAATTTTTACAGTGAGCGGTTTGCTATAGTATCAGTCGCGGGGGGAAAAAGACATTGGGCTGGCACGGGCAAGTAATCGGAAACGATCGGAAATATCGGAAGTCGACCAAGACTTGGGGGCATGTCAGACTCCACTGTTTTGGTCAACCACTGCCAGGCCGCCGTCGCCATCAGCGCGCGGCATCTCATTTATTGTGCCTCGGATTACGCGACAGAGACGGAGAGAGACAGAGGGGTCGCGGGCCCGTCCGTCCGTCCGTCCGTCCGTCCGCCAGGCTCCTTAAAATAAAGCCCGTCGCCCTCTGCCAAGCGAACACCTTGAGGCGACGCGGCTCGCCGAGCGAGGGTGGGGTGGGGGGTGGGGGCACTTGCAGTGTGCTGTCCACTTCTTGCGCGGTCCAGTCCACTCGGCGGACAAAGGGTGCAAGGGGTGCTGCGATGCAAATTGGTCTGCAAGGCGGAGCAGCCGTGGTATTCAGAAGCCCGGTTCGTCGCTCTGTCTCTCTCGCACCCTTACGGAGAGCCCCGTGAGTGCGACGGAGACAGAGCGACGAAACGACCCCTCTGAATCGCTCGACAGAGGCGGCGAGGCGGCGTGGGGATGTCGTTAGCGGCGAGGCGAGAGAGAAAGAGATATCAGTGTCGGTGTCGGAAGCGAAGCGAACCGGCGGCAGCGACACTCACGAAGCCATAATAAAAGGCCGATATGATAAGCGGGCGATAAGTGGCGGATGACTGCGTGCGGCGTGCGGCACATTGTTCGTAACGGGAAACGAGTTGGGATGACGAAAAAGAAGTTGATGACGAGTTTGTAGTTTAACGCTTTGTCGCTTCTCCTTGCAGACCCGCGGCGGACGCAGACGGCCTGGAGACGGACAAGGAGTACGCCGAGCGATGGCTGTCCATCAGGATCATCTACTTCACCATGTTCCTCATGTCGCTGGGCTTCAGCATCGTCATCACGGGGGTCTGGCCGTACATGCAGAAGGTAGGACCGCACGCACAGTGGGCCAGAAGACCGGTGGGGGCGGCCAAAACTCTAGACGCGTTTTGAGCTCCAGAGTAGCTAAGCAGGCCTCGAACCGAACGTGTGACCCCACCAATGGATTCCTCGTTCGGAGAGCAATCCATTGGTGGGGTCACACGTTCGGTTCGAGTCCAATTTAGCGACTCTGGAGGTCAAAACGCGTCTGGAGTTTTGGCCGCCTCCACCGTTCTTCTGGCCCACTGTGGACCGGCGGCGCACGTCCGCGTCGTAGTGGGAGGTATGGATTACTGACACTGGACCGTCTTGCAGCTGGACTCGGACTCGAGCAAGGAGTTCATGGGCTACGTGGTGGGCGCGAACCCCTTCGCGCAGATGCTGTTCTCGCCGCTGGTGGGCTGGTGGGCCAACCGGGCGGGCTCCATCCGGCAGCCCCTGCTGGCCACCACGGCGCTCTTCACCGCCGCCTCGGCCGCCTACTCGGCCCTCGAGGTGCTGCCCGTGCCCGCGCGCAAGCACTGCATGCTCATCTCCAGGTTCCTCGTCGGCGTCAGCTCGGGTACGTCCACGACACCGCAATGTAGCCATCCTGTCCTGGTGCTGAACGTCCTAACGGCGGCCTTCGGTCCTCGCTCGCAGCTAACATCGCGGCGTGCCGGTCCTACTTGTCGGCGGCCACGAGGATGAAGGAGCGCACGGGCGCCGTGTCCATGGTGTCCCTGGCGCAGGTGCTGGGCTTCATCGTGGGGCCAGGTAAGCTAGAAACCTAAGTCTAGGGGCTCTAAGGCAAGCGAGGTGCAAACGACGCCCCGGCGGCGTCTTGGAGGTGCGTAGGTCGTAGCGCGTCGCGGCGGCAGAGCGCCGCGCGGGTAGGCAACGGTGGCGCACGGGTGTGAACGCGCGGCCTACCTGCCAGGCGCTAGACCGGGCGACTAGGCGACTAGGCGGGCTGCAGCTGCGGGACGCGGCACGCGGCGCGCGGCACGCACAACAAGGCGTATTTCTGGACGCATCATGGCACTCCGCCCTCGCACAGCGCCACAGCGGGTCGACAGCCTCGCCCGTTGGAATCCCCTTGCGCGTCGCATTATTTAACCGTCCGAAAACCGAAAACATTCCGACTCCGTGCCAAAAGCCAAATCCCCTGCGAGGCGGGCAGGGCGCGCGGCCGCGGGGCTGCACGAGTGACTCGCCGGCCGCGAGGCGGTAGGCGGTAGGCAGTGCGGTGGCGCGCTCTGTGGCCCGGAGTACCAACCAACCACTCGGGCCGACGGCCGATGACCCCCAGCGCGGCCTACTTGAAGCCGTCCTGCCGCGAGCTCCGCCGCGCCGGTCGGATGGCCTCGAACTGCATTCGCGGCACCGCGCTTTGCACCGCCACCCGGCTGCATGGGCCGGCCGGCGCGCAGCGAGTCCACCGGGGGAGCAGCCCGACGAGGAGGTGGCCGGGTGTGGTGCACCACGGGGCCCGTGGGGGGCCGTCCCGCAATCTCGACTGGCCGCGCGCCCGCCGGTCGGTGGACCCGGCGACCTTGGATGCAACGGCCGCACCCCGCCCCGCCCCGCCCCGCCGCCGCATACGCGATGGGCCCGTTGGCGATGGCGGGGCAGGGCGCGGTGTGCAGGCGGGCAGGTTCTTTGCCCTTCCCCCACCTCGCCGTCGTCGCACACGCGCGACCTGCCGCGTCCCGGACGCTTCCCGACGGCCCCCCGATGGCGGGGATGGCTTGAGATCGGTGGACGAACCGGGAGTGCATCGCGCATCGCGTCTTGTTCGTCAGTCCCGTGCTGTCGGCCGGCTTGGCGGCTTGGCGGCTTGCTTCGGCTGCGGCAGGCCTCTGCGACGCGGCGGAGGGGAAGGCGCGCTGCACCCCCTGCCTGCCAGCCCGCTTGCCCCTCCCCCGCCGTGTACTGCACCTCACCGATAAAGCCTCACCTCCGCGCCTATCGCGAACTAAGGAGCGACAAACTAAAGCAAAGACAAAGGGATCGCATGTCGCTAGTGCAGCGAGGTAGCAATGACGTCATCGAGTCGATCATGACTGCTGACCACCATGTCCATGCCCTACGCCCAGGTCTCCAGGCCGGCGTGACGGTGCTGGGTGCGCAGGGCGTGGCGCTTGGCGGCGGCCTCCGCCTCGACATGTTCACGGCGGCGTCCTGGATCAACGTGTTCCTCGGCGTCCTCAACTTCGTCATGTTCCTGCCGGCCATCTTCAAGGAGAAGCGCATCGCGGCGCGCGAGGCCATGCTGCGGCAAGGCGCCGCCACGGAGGAGGCCACCTGGAAGCAGAAGAAGCCGGACTACTTCTCCGTCTGGACGCTGATCATCGCCTTCTTCGTGCTCGTCTTCAACTTCGTGCTGCTTGAGACGTGAGTCCGCGATGTCGTCGATCAGTACACTGATTCCAAGAGGCGTTTCCGTCACTCCGTTTCTCCCACAACTGAGCGGGTTGCCCCATGAGTGCGAGAGGGACAGCGCGACGAAAACGACTCTCGGAATCAGCCTGCAGTGCAGGTTCAGGCCGGCCGGCGGGCGTGGCTTGGCATTGGCAGCCACGGCGAACGGCGCCCCCTTCGTGGCCCCGCGCGGGCTGCCCCGTGTGCGCAGGCAGCCCAACCGACGCGGCAGCGCGTCGGTCGGCCTGCACCGCCCGGCTGACTCCGAGAAGCCTGCGTAACGCTCCGCTTTATCTTCTTTCCGTCGCAGGCTGGGCACGCCCCTCACCATGGACCAGTTCGCGTGGACCAAGGAGCAGGCCCTGTACTACATGGGCATCCTCATGTCGGTGGGGGCCGTCATCGCGTGCGCCACGTTCGCCGCCATCGGGCCCCTCTGCAAGAAGTGAGTGCATCGGCGTGAACATCTACAGCCGAGGTGCGCGCAGTGTTCGCTGACCGCCAATGTTGTTGACTTGCAGGTTCGAGGAGCGCCGCGTTCTCATCTGGGGCGGCTTCTTCCTCATGGTGCTGGGCCGCGCGCTGTACGTGCCCTGGGGGCCGGACCCGCCGCTCATCGCCTCCGGTGAGTTGGACTCGGGAGTTGTGACACGTCCAGGAAGGCGACGGTAATGGGCGGCCCCGGGCCCCGGGGCTGGCCGGCACCAACGGGCACACCGGGGAATGGAGATTGATCGAAAGCGCGGCTCCCACGGCACGGCCTCCTCGTCCACCAGCCATTACACGTGCCGCGGGCCCAAGCGCGGGCCGCGCGAGGTGCAAGCCAAGCCGGGCCGCGCTAAAACGCCGGTCGACACCGCCACACCGGCAAGGCACCGCTTTTACTGCCCTCTTTGTTCGTCTCGCGAATAAATGCCGGAGTTTATTATCGCGCGGAATAAGAATTCCACCTTGATGACGCCTTCCTTCTTGCCGCAGAGAACACGACGGTGACGACGTCGGACGGCACGGAGAGCGTGGGCTGCCCGCCCAGCCAGGAGTGGTGCGCCACCACGCCCTCCATGACCGTGTTCCAGATGGTGCTGGGCTTCGCCGTCACCGCCATCGGCTACCCAACCGGCGTCACCCTCATCCAGACGCTGTACTCCAAGCTGCTGGGGCCCCGGCCACAGGTGGGTTGCATTAGGGCCGCCTGCCTGCCGCGCCTGGCTGGTAGGCACCCCAACTGACGTCTCGGAGTACCCCGCTGACATGTGCTTTCCCTTTTTCCGTCCGCAGGGCGTGTGGATGGGGCTGATGACGGGCTCAGGGTGCCTGTCGCGCTTCATGGGCCCCGTGTTCGTGTCGTACGTGTACACGCGCATGGGCACGCTCTGGACGTTCGGCATCACCACGTCCATCATGGCGGTCTCCATGGTGTGGCTGCTGCTGTTCCAAGGCCGCCTCATCGTGCCCGAGGAGGAGGACGACCTGCGGCGGCGGCAGGCCAACGGCAAGGTGCCGTCGGACCCGTCGGACCCGGAGCGCCCGGAGGAGGATCCCGACGAGGACGTCGCCGAGGACGTCGGGGAGGACCCCGAGGCCACGCGCCTGCAGGAAATCAAGACTGACAAGGGCTGAGTCCGCGGCCGTTCCCAGGGAGGGGCCCTCGCGGGGCATGGCCTGGGCTGGGCGTCGGCCTCGGCGTCGGCCTCGGCGTCCACGTCCGCCCGCAACACGAAGACTGACTCGGGATGCCCGACGGCGGCGTCGCGGCGTCCCCCCGGCCGGAGGACCTGCAGGACTCGGAGGACTCCGGCCGCCAGAGGAGAGTGGCCATTTATCGGCGCAGTGATCACGGCCAGCACCGCCAGCATCCGGCACCGGCTGGACGTGGAGGGAATAATTGAGGCGAGGACCTGCTTGTCCGTCGCGCGGCTCGCTGGGTGGGTGCACCATGAAGGTCGGGGGTCAGCAGCGCCGCCGGGCCGGGCCCTATCGGCCCTATCGGCCATCGGGCGGACTAACAGGGTAAACGGAGTGAGGTGTTTGTGCCAGAGACTGTGTGGGTGAGTGAGGGTGTGTGTGTGTGTGCGTGCGTGTGCGTGTGTGCGTGGGCACACACAAAGCAGTGCGTCTTTCTTCCCGAGTGAGTGGCTGGCTGTTCGACAGACGAATGATGAGAGGTTCCTCTCGCCGTCGGCTCCCCGCGCACTTCCCTTCCCCCACTACTTCCTCGGTGAATTAAAAGTGGTAGCACCGCCCCGCACTGCCCCACGGTCGAGGCGAGGTTCGGGTTCGACTGCCAGTCGGGGCCAATCCATCATGGCGAGAATGTGCCCGTGCACGCCTGTACCACCTATACCGCCTGTGCACAGTGGGCCAGAAGACCGGTGGAGGCGGCCAAAACTCTAGACGCGTTTTGAGCTCCAGAGTCGCTAAAACAGGCCTCGAACCTAGCGTGTGACCCCACCAATGGATTCCTCGTTCGGATAGCAATCCATTGGTGGGGTCACACGTTCGGTTCGAGTCACATTTAGCGACTCTGGAGCTCAAAACGTGTCTAGAGTTTTGGCCGCCTCCACCGGTATTCTGGCCCACTGTGCTGTGCCACGACTGGCGTGAGAATGGCGGGAGCGGGCGGGAGTCGTCAGTCAGGCCGCAGCCATGCCGCATGTAGGGCAGTGCTGGCTGCCTGGCTGCTGGCTCTGGCTCGTCACAAAGTGCCAATGGGCACACACACGTACTCTCTCACACTCGCGCCGGCGGTCGCGGCGGTCTTGGCGGTCGGACCCGCACTCACTCTCTTTCAGAAGACTCGCCTCGCGAAGGAGCAGGCCGCGGCGGGGCAGGCCGCGGGGGGAAGAAGTGCGGAGAGCTCGGCGGGGCAGAGGAAGATAGAGTATATATGAGTTGCTGACGTGTATTTTTCTATGATTTTTATGTGATCTTTGAAATGAAACACTTTATTTTGTACAGTTTTGTGACCGCTCAAGTGTGAAAATAAATTTGTACCTCCTTTTACACGCCTGGAAAAATGAGAGATCCCCTTGTGTCCCCGCGGTCGAGGTCGGCCACGCGCGTCGGAAAGTTTTTCAGGGCGGAGACTGCAGCCACCGCAGCACAGGCCAACACAAGATTACAGGAATAATCTGCTTGCCGCTGCACCGTCCGCGTCAAACAGTGGAGGGAACACTGGGAAAAGGGGGGCGGGGGGAAGACGCTCCGTCTCCGAGTGGGCATCGCGCACCGCGCCGCACTTTTACGAGATCGAGTGCGAAATGAGAGGCCGAGGCCGCGCGTCGCTCGTCCGAACGGCAATAACGCAGTAACGGTGCAGCGCCAATTCATCGCCCCGTGCGACTCCGGACTGGGGACGCCGTCGCATGCGACTCTGCTCGGCGGCGGCGGCGGCGCGCGCTTTTACGATGCACACCGCGTCCCGAGTAACTTTGGCCGATTCAGGCCGAACGATGTACGAGCGGCGCGACGGCAAAAAAATACGGCAAGTGCCTGGACCCTACTAGAGGCTGGTCTAGGCTTGGCCTAGGCTTGTCTCGGCGGTCCGAGCGCCGCAGCGGCGGCCGCATCGCTGATCCGATGCCCTGCAGACTGATTCCGCGAGTCGTCTTCGTCTCTCTGTCTCTCTCGCACCTAGGCGCATGGCCCATGAGTGCGAGAGAGACGGAGCGTCACTGCTGCTGCGGCGTGGGCCAAGGGCTCGCTCCGCGCTGGACTTAATTTTCTCCTTCTTTTGCTCCTCGAAGAAGGGCAAGTTGCACTCTCGCGTAATGACTGACGGGGACGGCGCCGGACGTTTGCTTCGCCCCCTCCCCGCCGTCCTCACTGTGGCCGAGTGCCCAGATGAACAGCCAAGCCTATAGTCGGGTGCAGCGCCACGCAGTGCAGCGACTACAGGGTACCGCCGCGACCCGCATTGCGTGGATCGCGCGGGGCGGGGCGGGGCGGGGCGGGGCGGGGCGGGGGGGAGGGGAGGGGCGGAGGCATCACGAGCGCAAACTTCAGGCTGTATACGCCTCGAATCCAGCTACCTGTTATTCGCCCATTTGGACCGGAATTCCTGGAACGTCCCGCCGGCACACGGCCGCGGTCGCGGTGAGCCTATTTTGACGGCCGGAGACGGAGAATGCGACTAGGGAACCCGCGAGGACGTCAGGCAAGTCCGCCACACAGCTCAGCCCAAGCCCGCGGCACACCTAGCGCCTTGAGATAGGCAAGCCCGCCGCACACCTAGCGCCTCGAGGTAGGCAAGCCCGCTGCGCTTCGGTGTACGGCGGGCTTGCCCGCCAGACGGCGCTAGGTGCGCGGCGGGCTTGCCTATCTCAAGGCGCTAGGCCTGGGACGCTTCTGGGAATTCTCTCAGATCTGGAGATCGCTAGAGGCGCATTGTTGGACTCGGCACTCGTCCGGCCTCGGTAAGTGGCGTGTCACCGTGTCACTGTCAGAGCTGGCCTGGCTGGCCTGGCTGACCGCGCCGCCTTCCCCCACCCCCACCCCCACCGCGACTGTCTAGCCTCCTCGTTGGCGTCTCCGTCCGGGCAGCGGCAAACTGCAGCAATCCAACACAGAAAATTTGACAGCGGGCTGCCGGTGCGTGCGCCGCGTTGCCGGGCCGGGGCATTTTTTCGTCGGATCGCGGTGACGTCGTGGGACGCTGCGGGGGGGGGGGGGGGGGTTGGCGGCCCGATTCGAGGCGCTCTTATTCCAACAAGACCGCGACCGCAGACAGCGAGGCCCAGAACAAGGAGCGGCCTGCCAGCCTGCCGGGCCGGCTGCACGGCACGCCGTCGGCGGCCTGGTCCTGCTGGGCCTGCTGGGCCTGCGCGGCCGATATCCGCCAATAAATTCAGCGGCGTTTACTACACACGCCCCCCTCCACCCCGCATGCTGATTGGGGGGACGTCAATATCCGCTCGCAAGGCGGAGAAGGGGAGGGGAAGGGGAGGGGAAGGGGAGGGGAAGGGGAGGGGAAGGGGAGGGGAAGGGGAGGGGAAGGGGAGGGGAAGCAATAAGTAGTGTCGGACGCAGGTCCGGGACGGAGCCGTGTCCACTTTGTAGTCGGCCTGACTCGCCCGGGACTCGGCGTGGCGGTTGTAGCTGAATGCGCCCCGCGCGGGCGCCCGCTGGCTGATGCCGACGCTCTGTCTCTCTCGCGCCCCATGGAGCGTTGTCTTAGGCGTGCGAGAGAGACAGAGCCACAGTCAGCCCGCTGGGAGCGCGCGGTGTTTAGCGGCCCTGCTCGCGGGTACAGTCTGCACTGCACTCCGCAGTCCCTGTTGTTGTTGTTGGGAGTGTCGGCGGCGCGTTTCCAGGGAAGGGCGCAAAGGCCGTAATCGCACGCCGCCATGGGAAATTGAAATTATGCACGGCCAGCGACCAGACGGCCAGGCGAGGCGGCACCGGCACTGGCGGCATTGCGCGGGCCGGGCAGTGCCGCCTCCCCGCCTGCGGCCTGCAGCCTGCCGCCGCCGGCCGAAGATGATCACCGGCGTGGCCATTCGAGCCGGCCGGTGGGTGCGGCGCCTGCAGACTGACTCCGAGAGTCGTTCTCGTCGCTCTGTCTCTCTCGCGCTCATGGGGCGTCCCGTGCAGGTGCGAGAGCGACAGAGCGACGAGAACGACTCTCGGAATCAGTCTGCAGTGTCTTGTGCCTCACCCCGCCGACGCGATGCGGCCGCCGCGGCACCCCCGGCGCGGCACGGCGTGGAACCCAGTTCGCCACGCGCCGCCGGGAAATCGCACCGCGGAGATTTGCGCTGTGCCCTTTTTGAGAAGGGACGCCGCGCGCGCCTTTGAGTGTAGCGCGCCGGTGCCGGTCAGCGGCGGGGCGGCCGTACCCGTGCCGCCGCGGCACGGTTCAAATAGCCAGCCGAAGCAGACTATTGCTGCTCAGTGAACAGCGGGGCAGGGCAGTAAACTGTGTGTGTGTGTGTGTGTGTGTGTGTGTGTGTGTGTGTGTGTGGTGTGTGTGAGAGAGAGTGTATGTGTGCGTGTGTGAGATAGAGAGAGAGTGTGTGTATGTATGTGTGCCTGTGTGTGTGGGGGGGAGGGGGCAGTGAAATTAAGGACCACGGAAAGGATGGAAAAATTAAGGATGGTGTGAGTGAAGAGTGCATGGGAGTGAGTCGAAGAGAGTGAGCGAGAGAGACAGAAAGGCGTTTCGGGGCGAGAGGGCGCGGTCCGACGTCATCCGAGAATGACCTGGAAAGCTGATCACTCGGCTCGGCGCGATATTCAAATGTTACGACGTCACGCCCGTAACGATGCTAAGCAGATTGTCACGCCGCGCGACGCGTGTTGGTGTTTAATTGGCCGCGTGACAGGCGGCGAGTCACACTCTAACGTGACGGCGTGACGAGGACGAGTGGCGCCGGTAATCAGCGCCGAGAGCGAGAGAGAGAGGGAAAGAGAGAGAGAGGAGACGGGGCCGGCCCCATAAAAGCTGCGGCGTCCGTTTTATGTGACAATGAGTGCCACGCGAAACATCCCCGCGGGCTTGCCGGCTTGCCCTGCCCTGCGCGCGAAGAACCGTGCCAGGAGAAAGGGCCTCTGGGCCGCGCCTATAAACCGTTTGCGTTTCGGCGATTTGCAGCGCGCTGCTGTTAATTATTGGCGACGGGCTGCCTGCTGCCTCTCGGCCCGCTTGGCCGCTTGGCCTTGGCAGTGCAGCAGCACCCTGCCTTTATCCCCGGCCCGGATCAGGTTCCGCGGTACACGGACACGGACAGGGCGATCGCTAACCCCGCCAGGACGGGCCTCGCCGGGCCGCCCCGCGAAGCGCGCACCGTATGGGGGCTGCCCTGGCCGTGGCCCCTCCAGGCGCGTGGCGCTGCAGGGCTGCAGGCCGCGGCGTCTAGTGGGCCTAGTGGGCCTAGTGGGCCTAGTGGGCCTAGTGGGCCTAGTGGGGCCCAGTGGGGCCCAGTGGGCCTAGTGGGCCTAGTTTAGGGGCCCCAATTAGGGTCGCACCCCAAAGGGGGGAAAAAATTTGGGGGGCGGGATTTGGAGTGCCTTCCGGGTGTTTCCCCCCCTGGGAAAGTTCAAAACGGGCAAAACCTTTAAAATTGTGTTTGGCCACAAGCAGCACTCCGACCAAAAGGACGTCTTTCCCAGGGGCTTGGCTTTTTTCTTTGCATGCCTTTTTTTCGGGTGCATTTTCCCTTTGGGGACAGAGCCAAAGTGGACAAAAAGGGGCGGCTTTTTTAACGTTTTCATCCTTGGCTCTGCCCCTTGCCGTTCCCTCCGAAAAAGACCCCCCTGGAAGGTCCAAAGACCAAAGCCCGCGAGGGGGACGAAATCCGTCGGTCGACGCGGGGGGCTTTTAAATCGGCCCAAAACACGTTTTTTTAAAGACATTTCTGACTTTTTGATCAACTTTTGTGGCCATACTGCCTCCCAAACTAAGGCGATAATCACACTCCGTAACAAAGGCATGCTAAAGGAGGGGTCGCGGGGTCGCGAAATTTTTCCTGGGGGGTCGGGGAAAATTTTTTGTTACAAATTCGGGGTCGCGAACCGAAGAAGGTGGGAACCGCTGGCCTAGTGCGCCTAGTGGGCCCACAAGCAGCGCCACTCCGAGCCAAGCGCGGCCACCGGTCTCCGAACGGTGCTCTCGCCGCTCTGTTTCTCTCGCACTCGCGGTGTGTCCAATAGGTCCCGTAGGAGCGCGACAGAGACAGCGACACTGTGACATTGCGGCGCGCTTGGACTTGGAATGCAGGCATATTTTCATGGCGGCGCTTCGCTGCTGGCTGCCGCCGCTTGCCGCCTGCCGCTGTCTCCGAGCAGAAAGGACGGCGCCTGCCTCCGGGGCCTCAGTGTCTCCGCTGGCCGCCGAGACCGAGAGCCTGAGGCAGCCTGCACTGCAGCCTGCGGACTGATTCCGAGAGTCGGATTCGACGCTCTGTCTCTCTTGTATCTCTGCCCACGAGTGCGAGAGAGACGAACTCGGAATGAGTCTGCTGCAGCCTGCTGGAGGACCGAGTTACAGCCGCGGCCGCCGCCATGCTCGCTTCTAGGTTCCAGGGCGGCCGCGACCTCCACAGCTATGCACGCGGCACGCCGTGGCACGCGCTCGTCGTGGCACTTGGCGCTGGGCGGCCTGGGCGGTTAGGCGCCGCTTGCCCTGGCTTGCCGCTTCCTGTCCCTGGAGATTGTGCGCGTGATGGCGCAGGCCCGTCGCGCAGTGTCGCGCAGTGCAGTTCGCCGCGGCCGAGTTAGATATTTCATTCCTGCCGAGCGGCGCGCGCGACTGCCGCCGCTAGCGACGGCGTTTGTTGGTGGCGGATGTCTCCGAGGAAACGCAGGGGAAAAATAAAGGAAACCGGGTTTCGAACCCTGGCCTTTGAGCGGCAGGCGCGCCACGCCGCGATGTATGCAGGACGCGTGCACCCTGCCCGACAGCCGGTCGCAGCCGGCGGCGCTTAGACAGTGACAGTGGGGTGCCTGACGATGACACCGGGACACGCCTTGAGGCGACCCGACGTTCTCGTTCTTGTTGCTGTTGGCTACACTTGCGCTCCTCGCCGTCCGGGTCATCATCGGCGATCCGCAGCCCGCGCGACGGCGAAGGCACGACGCCCCGCGGATCGACGCGGTGCTCAGTACTTAGGCGTGGCCAGCAGACTGATTCCGAGCCCCGCTCTCATCAGTCTGTCTCTCTCGCACTTGCGGAGTGGACCATAAGGGTGCGAGAGAGATAGACCGACGAGAGCGGCTCTCGGAATCAGTCTGCAGGCTGTAGTTAGCGAGCCCCGGTACTCCAGCAGACCAATGCCGAGAGTCTTTTTGGTCGATCCGTCTCTCTCGCACCTGTACGGGACGCCCCATGAGTGCGAGAGTGACGGAGCGACGAATAACGACTCTCGGAATCAGTCTGCAGTCGGACTCCTGCACTTCTCCAGCAGTGCGACTAGTTCCAGTTCCCCCCTCCCCTCCACTTCCCCCGACCGATAAGCATCTGCCTTCGATCGTTCACGGAGAGGCCGCGCATCGCATCATCGTCAGCATGGACTCCGTGCCGCGGCGGCTGGCGGCCGCGCAGAGGAGGGTGTTGTCCAGGACATTGTCCAGGACATTGTCCAGGACATGGCGGCGGAATCGGATCGGCACGACGACGGCCGCTGTCGCTAGTCGCTAACGGGGGCGGGCGGCGGGCGGACACGGGACGCCCAGGTAAAAATGGGTTCCGCAAGAAACTCTATACCTTCATGTCATTTCTGCCCCAAAACAGGCTCTCTTAGGGGGCTTAATAGAAGTAAATGTAAACAGTCTTACCGGAGGTGGAGGGACATTAGCTCTTCGCCACTTAGAAACGCGCACCGTGCAGTGACCGCCGTGCCCCGTGTGACCCTCACCTTCACCGCCCCGGTGCCGCGGTGCCGCGGTGCCGCGGTGCCACGCGGTATGGACGGCCGCATGATGGGTCAAGTGCATGGCCGGGGGTCACGAACGTCGGACTAAGCAGAATCATCCGCAAAAAAAATAAAAACAGTTTTGTTTTTATTCAAATCGTGGTTTGAGAAAGTCATGGCAGCAAAGTATGGTAGGTAGGGCGTGGCAGGAGGGAAGGGGAGGAGTAATAATGCCCTATAAGATCGTCGCGCTATGTGTGTGTGAGTGCGCGCGTGTGTGCGTCGTTCTCTCTCAGTGTGTAGGCGGGTGACACGCACACACACGCACACACACGCGCGCGCGCGCGCGTGCTCCTTTGAGGTATGTGACTATTTAGCGGCGTACCCGCGATAGCGCCTGGGCTGGCCTGGCCGGGGCACTCAGTGATGTCGATGCCGTGCTCGATGCTGATGTTCTCGTCGACCTATCGTTGGCATTCCTCCCCCGTGTCCGGACGGGGACCGGTCTAGTGAGGGACAGTCAGCGGGCGGGCGGCGGGCGGCCTGACTAGTAGAGTCCTGGCGGCCGGGGCCGGGTCCGCGGCCTGCCCAGGCAGCGCAGTGCAGGCCTGCCCCGCCGCAGACATTTGCAACAATCTAGGAAAGCGGCGGGGTGCACCTGCAGGCTGTTGATGCACGAGTTGTGTGGACAGCGCCGGCGGGGAGCACCGCCGCACAGTGGGCCAGAAGACCGGTGGAGGCGGCCGAAACTCTAAACGCGTTTTGAGCTCCAGAGTCACTACACAGGTCTCGAATCGAACGTGTGACCCCACCAATGGATTCCTCGTTCGGAGAGCAATCCATTGGTGGGGTCACACGTTCAGTTCGAATCCCATTCAGCGACTCTGGAGCCCAAAACGCGTCTAGAGTTTTGGCCGCCTCCGCCGGTCTTCTGGCCCACTCTGCGCCGGGAGGCCGGTCGGAAATCTGGCCGATCAAAAGACTCGCTTTGGACTGCGCCTCCAGCGGTCGCGGCAGCAGGCACGTGTCGGGTGCTTGAAAGTCGATAAGCGCCGCGCGACACGGCCCATTGTGTGCATTTAGCGCGTGCGCGGTGTTTGCGCCGCGCGGCCGATCAGACTCTGCAGTACGCAGTGCGAAGTACGCAGTGCGCATGCACGCACACGTGTCGAAAGTTTAACGACGTGTCGGGTGGGCCGTCGTCCCGTCGACGGGCAGGTGGCGGGGCTAACGGGGAAAGTGGGGCGGGCTGGGCCGCCACAACGCACACGTCGCACTGCGTTGCACTGCGTCGCACACCCTTCACCGACCCTTTGCTCCCCGAGAGGAATTCCCCGCGGCCGTCTCTCTGTCTCTCTCCGCCGATCTGGAGCGCGGCACGGCGTGGCACGCAGCGCGGCACGCGCGCAGCTGCCTCGCGGACTCGCGCTGTCGCTGCGACGTGGCGCACTGTGGCGGTGTTGTGCGTGCACATTGAGACGGCCACCCTGCCCAAAGGCCCAAAGACCCGCCAGGGCCAGGTCGCCACAGGAATGCGTGCAACAGAGCCAGAGCCACCCCGAGGCAGGTGGGTGCTACGTGCTACCCGCGCGTCCTGCCAGCCACCGCCACCTGACTCCGGAACATCATTTCGCCGCCCCTCGCACTCTCCCCTCCGTGCAGGGCAGGGGTGTGAGAGAGACAGCGACGATGCGGCCCCTCGGAATGAGGCCCCGCTCCCTCCACGCCGCCGCCGCCGCGCACCACCGCGACAACCCGCTGCAGCAACGCACCGGCCGCGGCTCGACGCGCTGCCACTTGATGCACTAGATGACGGCGGCCGACAAACGACCTGGAAATGCCCGGAACGCGGTAATAGTTTTCGTACGTCATTATCCCAGCAGGCTCCATCCAGTGCCGCGCCGCCGTCCTCCCGACAGCGTGACAGCGTGACAGTGTGGCAGCGTGACAGCCGGCAGTCACATACTCGTCACCCCGAGAGGCCACCGTCGCGGCCACTGGCCCCGTGATGCCCGGCGATGCGCCGCGATGCGCAGCAACCTCTGTATCTGGGGCGGACCGACCGGACTCGAGCGACGGCCTTGTTAGGTCGAGTCGTGGCTCGTGGCCCAGGACGGTCAGGACGTCCAGGATGGCTCGGCCCGTACCGCTCCCCGAGCCTCCCCATAATCCAGCGGCCTACGGTCACCGAGTTACGTCGCTTGGTGGGTCCTTGCACCGCGTCGAAACTCCCCCTGAGCCACGGCCCGCACGGCCTCACCTGGTTCGGTGCACGTGGACTGCAGCAAGCTTCAGCGGACCCTCTCCAGGAGGCCAAGTTCCAGCGTTCCGGCCAGGCCGACGCCGTGCGATGCAGCCCGCTGTGGCCTGCTGCCACTTGTCGCCGGCCGGGGCAGGCCGGGGCTTTGGACTTCCCTGCCCCTTCCAGCGCCGCGCCGTGGCGATGCGGGCGAGGCGGCAAGCCGGGCGCGGCGCGGACGCGCAACGCGGGCCGCGGACTGCGCCGGTAGTGTCTGGCGGGCGGCAGGAGCAGCCGCATCCAACACCGCCGCGCTCTGCCACTGTCGTCCTGTCCTAACCAAACACGCCCGGCCTGCCCGGTCCGGTCGGCTTGGCGCTCTGCTCCGCTTTGCTTCCGACTCACTGTGCGTCTGTGTGAGTGAGATAGTGACCGCGCGCGTGTGTGTGTGAGGCGGCACAGCGGCAGACTGTGACCGCGGTGGACCGGGTCAGTCCCGTCGGTCAGTCCGCACTCGGCCGGACCAGAGAGCCGTCGTCGTCACGTCAGTCACCATGGCGATGCAGAGGGTGGCCGTCGTCGCCCTGCTCGCCCTGGCGGCGCCGCTGTTCGTCCTCGGACGCCCCCACGAGGACAAGAGCCCCGTCTGCGGCTACGACGTAAGTGTGGAGTTTGATGTGTACTCCAGGAAGGTAACGGTCGCTGCCGGTTGGCATGTGCACTGCAGGCGTCCTCCGCGATGACGACTTGGTCCGCCTGCGATTTCGATTTTATAGTGCGAGGTCGACGGGGTCACCGACGTCCGCACGCCGCCTGCCGATCTCGCTCAACGTGCACGCCCAAGCGGGAAGAAAGGCGTTTATTCCGCCAGAGTGTTTTCATCGGCAGCCTGGCAGAGCGACTTAGAGTTGTTAATCCGACGTGCCCATGCATAATGCATAACGCACGACTCCGCTGAAGTGAGTCTGTCTGGTGTCTTCTTCACGCCGCCGCTCCCGCGCCAGGTCCGCCAAGTGGACCATTGTGGCCGCTTCCGCCGATGGCGGCCGCGACGCCGCGACCTTCGACCGCCATGTTATCATTGTGGGGGTCACCGCCGTCACCACGGCCTCCGCACCGGCCGGCTCTGCGAATGAGAAACCGGCCGGGCCGCCTCACCTAGAGCAAGAGCGCCTAATCCTGGAACAACAACCGCCACCTGCTCGCCGGGGCGCCGGGCCACGCCGGGGCTCCAGTGCCGAGCCGAGTCCAGTTTGTTTTTGTTTCCCTGCCTAATTGGTGCGCGAAAAGCGATCGGGCGATAAGCGCGTCGAGTTGTCTCGCGCAGTCAAAGTGCGATACACCAGCCAACCTACACTGATAATGAGCCCGAAGCTCGTTACGGCGTTTCGCCGCGTTCCTCCGCATTTCGCACGCAGGACGGCCGTATCTGCAGGCTGATTCCGCGAATCCCTCTGTCCCTCTCGCACTCACGGGGCGTCGCGCACAGGTGCGAGAGAGACAGAGTGACGAAAACGACTCTCGGAATCAGTCTGCTGCTTGTCCTGTATGAATGAGGCCAATGCGATGCCCGGCGGCTCGTTACCGCCGGCCTGCCGTTTGCTTGTTTGCACTCGCACGGAGCTCGACAAAGGCGGCAGCGCGGTAGCATGATGGACGAACCGATGATGGACCGGCCGCCGAACTGGCCCGAAAAAAGAAGACCCCGCCGCCGCGGCCCGCGCGCCGAAAAGAGTATTGTTGGCTTTCCGGCAGTTAGCTTTCACACGGAGTGGGATTCGCGGGAGAGGGGTGGGCCTCTGGCAAGCCTTCGGCGCAGAGCGGCTGTCTTGTTTTCTTTCCGACTTGCGTTGTACCTGTTTGCGGAATGCCTGGAGTGAGTGACTTCCCGGCGGCGCAGCGGCGCACCCCTTTGCCCCGGCCAACGCTTTGTCTGCCCGACGCACAGTGGGCCAGAAGACCAGTGGAGGCGGACAAAACTCCAGACGCGTTTTGAGCTCCAGAGTCGCTAAATGGGACTCGAACCGAACGTGTGACCCCTGTGACCCCGCCAATGGATTCCTCGTTCGGAGAGCAAATCCATTGGTGGGGTCACACGTTCGGTTCGAGTCCCGTTCAGCGACTCTGGAGCTCAAACCGAGTTTAGAGTTTTGGCCGCCTGCCGCCTCCACCGGTCTTCTGGCCCACTGTGCGACGGCGGCCTGGCTGGCCGCCCTTGCGACACTGCACGACGTCGTCCGCGACCAGGCACTTCGTTATCGCGAGGAGGCGCGTCGATCGGCACAATTTGGGGTTGGGCTTATCGCGTCCGGCCGTCCTAGACAACAACAGCGAGGCCCTGGCCGTGCCGGGCGTGGCGCGGCGGGCCTCGCTCCAGGCTCCAGCCCGGACAGCCTGCACGGCCGGCTCCAGCGGCTCCAGCACGGTGGCCCGCGGCTGTAAAGCTGATTGGGACCAGCAGCGGAACTCGACGGCGGTGCTTAAAGTTTGGTGCCGATTGCCTGCTCCGGAGGCTGCCTGGGCTGCCGGCTGCCGAGGCTCGGCGGACCGGGCCCCGGGACCTGGATCGGCCTATCCTAGTAGTGACGAATGGACCGCGTGAAAACCACGCCCTGCCCCGCCAGCCAGTCCGGCGCCCCAGTCCGGCAGTAGACTGATTCCGAAAGTCGTTTTCGTCGCTCTGTCTGTCTCGTACTCATTGGCGCGCTATGTAGGTGCGAGAGAAAACGATGAAAACTACTCTCGGATTGAGTGCGGCAGGTGGCCGCTAGGCCCGGCCACCGGCCCTCGCCCCGCGCTGGAGCGGAGTCCCGCTGGGGGCCCGGAACATATTTGGATAAGCAGCAGATAATACCGTTGGTGCGTTTTGATTTTCGCTGCGGTCTCCCGCATTGACCGACCAGCCGGCTGTGTTCAGGATGAAGCCCTACCGGGGCTGGGGCAGCGCGGGGGCCGCCGGGGCCGGGCAGATGACTTGTGGGCAACCGCGACGCGAGAGCCGCCTGGCTGCAGCACACCGATTCCGAGAGCCGTCTTCGTCGCTCTGTCTCTCTTGCACCTACACGAGACGCCGCATGAGTGCGAGAGCGACAGAGGGATGAAAACGACCCTCGGCCCGCGGGGCTGCTCCGCGGTGGGGGCGAGGGCATGCACGGGGCCATGCACAGCGAATGGGCGCCGGTTCCACGGCCACGGCAGGCATGAGACGGACACGACGCGGACATTAGACGAAATGGAGCCACACCGGCCGGCGCACAGTGGGCTAGAAGACCGGCGGAGGCGGCCAAAACTCTAGACGCGTTTTGGGCTCCTGAGTCGCTGACTGGGATTCGAACTGAACGTGTGACCCCACCAATGGATTGCTCTCCGAACGAGGGTGGGGTCAGACGTTCGATTCTAGACCTGTGTAGTGACTCTGGAGCTCAAAACGCGTCTAGAGTTTCGGCCGCCTCCACCGGTCCTCTGGCCCACTGTGCGGCGCGCCCGGCGGCATCCTCGCGGTGCCGATGCCTTGCCGATGCCAAGACAGTGGGGAGAGAGTGATGTGCAGCACGATTCCCACGTCCTCCCGATGCGTCTCAATCACGCCGCGGTGCTGCGTGCGTCCGCGCGTCCGCGCGTGTGGCCTTGTTGTTGTGCCCGGGGCGGCGCGTCCGGAGTGCTCCGCCCGGCGGCGTGCTCTCGTTTCGGCGGCCGCTGGACGCGACCGCAGCCAGGGTGCGTCGCCTTCGTCGTCGCGGAGCTCCGGTGGGACCCCCACAGTCCGGAATGGCAGCCCTGCAGCCTGATTCCGAGAGTCGTTTTCGTCGGCCTGTCTCTCTCGCACTCCTAATGCGCGCCATACAGGTGCGAGAGAGGCAGCGACTAAACGACTCCCGGAATCAGTGTGCTGGCTTTCGCCGGCCCGGCCTTGTTGACGTTGGCGCGGCGCGGCGACGCGGCCCCTTCTTGGCGACGCTGCGGTCGGCCGGCCCGCGGCGCGCCCCGACGGCGGCTTGATTTGGCTGGAAAGTAAGACGGCACCGCGTCGTAAAACGGCAGGACTTGGAAATCCGCCGCATGAGATGAGGTTCCGGCCCGGTCCTTGTCCGACGGCGTGGTCGCGGTGGCGGCTGTAATTGCCCCAGGCCGCACGCCCTCGCCGTCCTGGCCGCCTCCCGCCGCGCCGCCGCGCCGCGCGACGAATAAAATGGATTAGCGCGCGGTCCGCGTCCCCGTTCCGCCACACTGAAAGTCGCGGGGCGCCGCGCCGCACACGTCGGGAAGAAACCTGGCGGCACTATAATCACTGCCTGCCTGCCGCGGCTGGACGGTGCACAGTGGGACAGAAGACCGGTAGAGGCGGCCAAATCCCTTGACGCGTTTTGAGCTCCAGAGTCGCTAAGTGGGACTCGAACCGAACGTGCGACCCCACCAATGGATTCCTCGTTCCATCCGAGAGCAATCCATGGTGGGGTCACACGTTCGGTTCAAGTCCCGATTGGAGCTCAAAACGCGTCTAATTTTGGCCACCTCCACTGGTCTTCTAAGCCACTGTGTGGCGCTGCCCCGTCCCCCCGGTGTCACCCATTTCGTCCAAACACTGCGCTGGAAAAGCCTCATCATGTGTGTTTTCTGGACTGTTTCAGTCGTGCCCCAAAGCCAAGCCCGGCTTCCTCAACGTGCACCTCGTGCCCCACACCCACGACGACGTCGGCTGGCTGAAGACCGTCGACCAGTACTACTATGGAAGTGAGTAGTGGACTCCCGCTGCGTCTGTCTGTCTGACCGCGCGGGGGAAGTCCTCAGCACGCCCTGGGCATAAAGTGTGGAGTTTAAAACGCGGTGCCATCCTCTACGTGCCCTGTATCCCATTTCTGGAAGGGGAAGGGGGATCCTCATCTCTGCGGTGCGAACTTCACTTTCGTGATGGCACTGCGCGGTGCTGCAGTGCAGACTGATTCCGAGAGTCGTTTTCGTCGCTCTGCCCCTGTCGCACCTACACGGAACGCCCCATGAGTGCGAGAGAGACAGAGCGACGAAAACGACTCTCGGAATCAGTCTGCTGGCGGCGCGGTACGGTACTAAACAGGACCGCCATCCGCAGCCATCCGCCATCCGCCCCACTTGACTGCGGTTCACACCTCCATCGCGAGGGGGCGCTGCGGTCGCGGCGTGGGCGCCAACCGCAGTCCGCCATTTCTAATTGCGCGCCAAAAAACCTGACGTCTTGCTCTGCTTTCCGTCGGCTGCAGGCAGGTCGATGACCCAGAAGGCGGGCGTGCAGTACATCATCGACTCGGTCGTGAATGAGCTGCTGCATGACCCCAACAAGAGGTGAGCACACACTCAGCACACTCATTCCGAGAGTCGTTTTCGTCGCTCTGTCTCTCCTCGCACTCACGGGGCGCCCCGTATAGGTGCGAGGGAGACAGAGCGACGAAAACGACTCTCGGAATCTCGGCAATGGAGACGTGGAAGGGAGGGCTTGTCGGCGGCTGACTCTGGCGGCCTCTGCGCAGGTTCATCTACGTGGAGACGGCCTTCTTCTGGAAGTGGTGGAAGAACCAGCATGACACTCGCCGCCACCAGGTCAAGAAACTGGTGGAGAGCGGCCGCCTCGAGTTTATCGGCGGCGCCTGGTCCATGAACGACGAGGCCGTCACCAACTACATGTCCATCATCGACCAGTTCACCTGGGGACTCAGGTGAGGCTAGCGAGTGCCATCCTTGTTGACCTATCTTGGCCCCGCGTGCGATAACGTTCCCTTTTCCGTGCAGGAAGCTAAACGAGACCTTCGGCCAGTGCGCGCGCCCCCGCGTGGGCTGGCAGATCGACCCCTTCGGCCACTCCCGCGAGCAGGCCTCCCTCTTCGCGCAGATGGGGTACGACGGGCTGTTCTTCGGGCGCCTCGACTACCAGGACAAGCTGCACCGCCTGGGCGCCCAGCAGGGCGAGATGGTGTGGAGGGGCAGCCCCAACCTCGGTAGGCTAACCTTACAGTGTGGTGCGCGTGCGTTGACGGCGACGTGCTGAGGCTCCCTTTTGCCACAGGCAAGGCCGCCGAGCTGTTCACCGGCGTGCTCTACAACACGTACAGCCCGCCGCCCGGCTTCTGCTTCGACGTCCTCTGCGCCGACGACCCTATCATCGACGACAAGCGCAGCCCCGACTACAACATCGTCACCAAGGCGAGTGCAGACAGCCTTCGAGGGCAAACTCGTTCGGCCTATCGGGCCGGCTTCCTTGACCGCGGGCACCGCCGCGCGCACCGAGGCTCGATAGCGGAAAGAAGGGGAATTGTTTTGTTTCGGGCCGACTTGTTCATGTTTAATTGAGTCTCATCCTTGTATTTTTGGAGAACAATGAGCCCGGCCGTCGGATTGTGCGTGTGTGGCGGCGTTTCCTTCCAGAGTCGGATCCCGTATTAATCTCTGTTAGCGGACTGCGGCGGCACGGCCACGGCGGCGTGCTGCTGGCTCTGCCTGGCTCTGCCGGCCACTCGTCACGCCGATTGTCCGTCTCTCTCGCGTGAGACTGTACTGTACCGCGGGCACCGGGCTGCGGTCTGCTGCGGTCTGGCGTCCGCGCGTGCCGGCCAAAACTTCCTCCTTGACGTAATTTAAAGAACGCCCCAAACAGGCCGCAGACTTCCTCAACTACGTCAAGGCCCAGGCCCAGTTCTACTCCAGCGGAAACGTGATCCTGACCATGGGCGGCGACTTCACGTACCAAGCCGCGCACTTTTGGTACCAGAACCTGGACAAGCTCATCAGGTAACACTGGTACCGCGCCGCCAGGCGCTGCCTTTGGTCAGGCGTACGGACTGGTCTGGCACACTGTTTGCACTGCGCTTGAATCTCCTGCACGCACCATTGTAAATAATGTCGTTCATTGTGTGCTCCATCACTACTTTTGTGTGTGTGTCTGGGCGGGGCGCAGCGGGGCAGCACCGGGCATGTTCCTAGCCTCGGCCCCCGGCTTTGTGGCCAAGAACGTGACTGCTTAGATAGACATCCATTTGGAAAGCAGGGCTGCCAAACGAGGCGTCGACGACGGCGCGGTCGAGCTACCTGAGCAGGATGGGTTGCCTGCCCTGCAGGCGGGTGTGTACATACTTTGCTAAACGTTGTGCGGGGCGCTAGTGCAGGCCAAGGAGTTCATCGCCCTGGCGAGGGTGCAGGCCGCAAACTACACCACGGGCAACGTCATCATGACCATGGGGGAGGACTTTCAGTACCAGGCCGCCGACATGTGGTATCTCAACTTGGACAAGCTGATTCGGTAAGCCGGGCGGCACGGCGAGCGCTCTGGTTGGGGAATTGCTGTTTTCCCCTCACGCTTGAGTCCCTGCGCCCCGCGCAGCGAGTTGCTGGAGAGATGTCTCGAAGTTGCCGTGGGCCGCCGTGGAAGGCTTGGCTGCTGCACGCGTTTTGATGGCATTTGGATGACGTTTGGATTCGACAGGCGGGCGAGTTCTTGGACTACATTCAGGAACAGGCGTCCGTGTTCCGATCCGGCAACATCATCCTGACTATGGGTGACGACTTCCAGTACCAGGCGGCCGATATGTGGTTCACTAACATGGACAAGCTCATTCGGTAAGGGCAGGGGGGCTAAAGCGGGGGGGGGGGGGAGGGAAAGGGAAGTCCAAGTAGGATGAAACACATTTGTACAGCTATCTTCGCCAGGCGCGAGCAGTCTTCGAGACATGCGATTCAGTGGCAGCTGCATTAAAATGGCTTCTAGCTTTCTTTGCATTCGCGTTGCTTTGTAAATCCTGCACATTCATGCTTTGCTTACGTCCTCACTGATGTTTCAAACTTTGAAGTACAACGTTTGGTGATTGTTTCTGGGTCCTCTCCGAGGTCCTCTCACACTGGCCGCTTGCCCAGGTACATCAACAACCACCAGACCGCGGAGGAGAAGGTGAACCTGTTCTACTCGACACCCTCTTGCTACCTGAAGGCCGTCCACGACTCCAACAACACGTGGACCACCAAGGAGGACGATTTCTTCCCCTACGCTAGTGACCCCCACGCCTACTGGACCGGATACTACACCTCTCGCCCCACCATCAAGTACTTCGAGCGCCTCGGCAACAACTTCCTGCAGGTGCGTCAGGATTCTAATTCGGGGGGCGACACTTCCAACCACCTCTCGCTCGGTTAGTACAACGATGCCGCCGTGCTCTTGTCCGCAGGTGTGCAAGAACTTGTACGCCCTGGCCGACCTGGGCCCCGAGGACATGGCGGACCTGGACTCGATGCGCGAGGCCATGGGCGTGATGCAGCACCACGACGCCATCACCGGTACCGAGAAGCAGCACGTCGCCGACGACTATGCCCGCCTGCTGACCCGAGGCTTCGACGAGTGCGGCATCGCCACCAAGGCGGCGCTCAAGTGAGTGGCCAGCGCGCCGAGGCTGGGCGAGGCGCAGAGCAGGCGACCTGATGAACTAATAATGTGACTTCCCTCCGACAGCAAGCTGATCCGCAAGAACAGCGTGCCCCGCTACAGCCTGGACTCCTCGAGCTCCGAGTCTGACGAGTCCGTGGTGGTGGCGGACGAGAAGCCGGCCCAGGTCCAGGACGACGATCTGCTGCCCTTCCAGTCGTGCCTGCTGCTGAACCAGAGCCAGTGCGCCGTGTCCGAGAAGGCCGACAAGTTCGTCGTGACCGTGTACAACACCCAGAGCCAGCGCACGTCGCAGTTCGTGCGCATCCCCGTGCCCGAGGCCACCGGCTACACCGTGCGCTGCCCCATGGGCCACGAGGAGGCCTCCCAGGTACGTTGACGAGGACGGCGGCGGAGAGGAAGGGTCGACGGTCTCGATGGTGTTTACGGTGTGGTTGCTGCAGGTGCTGCCCATCCCCGAGCCCGTGCTGCGCCTCCCCGGCCGCGTCATGAGCACCGCCCGCTACGAGCTGGTCTTCAAGGCGGACAACCTGCCCGCCCTGGGCTTCCGCTCGTTCTACGTGAGTCGCGACGGCAAGCGCCACGAGCACCAGCGGCCGCGCGCCGCGGAGGGCGCCGACGCGCTGTTCGTGGGCAACGAGCACCTGCGCGTGGAGCTGGACGAGGCGACGGGCCGCGTGCGCAACCTGCGCGTCGGCGGCGCCAACCTGAGCGTCGCCCAGGACTTCCTCTACTACCCCGCCATGGTCGGCAACAACGAGGAGTTCCGCAACCGCTCCTCCGGCGCCTACATCTTCCGACCCAACGGCACGGCCCTGCCCGTCTCCGAGAAGGCCACCATGAAGGTGTACAAGGGCGCGCTGGTGCAGGAGGTGCACCAGGTCTTCAACGAGTGGGTCAGCCAGGTGATCCGCATCTACGCTGGCGAGAAGCACGTGGAGCTGGACTGGCTCGTCGGCCCTGTCCCTGTGGACGACCTTGTTGGCAAGGAGGTCATCAGCCGCATCAGCACCAACCTGGACACCAAGGGCGTGTTCTACACCGACTCCAACGGCCGCGAGATGCTCAAGCGCCAGCGCAACTTCAGGCCCACCTGGAAGGTGATGATCTCCGAGCCCGTGGCCGGCAACTACTACCCCGTGACCTCCAAGATCAGCGTGCGAGACCCCGTCAAGAAGCAGTCCGTGGCCGTGATCGTTGACCGCGCCCAGGGCGGATCCAGCCTCCAGGACGGCGAGATGGAGCTCATGGTGAGTGCTTAAACGAGACTGGACTTCGAAAAACACGATTTTCCGGCGCTTGCACCGTGGGTTTGCCATTTTGCAGGTTCACCGCCGCCTGCTGCACGACGACGCCTTCGGCGTGGACGAGGCCCTGAACGAGGAGGCCTTCGGCACCGGGCTCGTAGCGCGCGGCACCCACTACGTGCTGGGCGGCGCCGACGGCGAGGCCGTGGGACGCCGCAGTCTCTCCGGCCAGGAGCGCATCCTGGCCCAGAAGAAGCTGGTGCAGCCCTGGACCTTCTTCACCGCGCTCGACAAGGACATGACCTTCGACAAGTGGCACAAGACGTACAACATGGAGGTGTGTGCTGCGCGCCTGCTCTGAGACTCAGCGTCACTGGGAGGAATACTGAGCTCCGGTCGGTTTGTTTGTTTGCAGTTCTCCGGTCTGAAGAAGTCCCTCCCTCACAACGTCCACGTCTTGACCCTGGAGCCCTGGAAGGGCAAATCCCTGCTGCTGCGGCTGGAGCACTTCGTCGAGAAGGGCGAGGACCACGAGCTGTCCAAGGAGGTGACCGTCAACGTCCAGGTAAGCGATTGCTCGTCGCGTCGGCAGCTTCAGTGATGTAAATTTTCTTTCTTCATTTCTGTCAACTTTACTGTGTTGTCTCTTATAGGATATGCTGACGCCTTTCAAGATCCTTCGACTGAGGGAAACCACTTTGGGTGCGAATCACTGGCTCAAGGACTCTCAGAGACTGAAATGGAGGTCTGAATCCAATGATATTGACCAAGGTGAAGAGGAGATGCATGCTCAGGAAGAAACGGACTTTGTTGTCAAGCTCACTCCCATGCAGATCCGTACTTTTGTCATTGATATCAATAACTAATTTGATTCAAAAATGTACTGTCATTCTAGTCTTCACACACAATTTTGCCTCCTCTGTGTTTTAATTTATTTATATTATTGTGGAAGACTGAGCTGCAATATGCAGAAAAATAGAGAGATTGTTATCACTTAAGTTTGAGCCAAAGTATGTAACAATGAATTCTTTGACTCTCACTTGATTGACACCTTAAAATAAAAATTGATGATCGATTGAATTGCAAGATATGTTTCCATCTGCGTGCACCTTCGACCTTTAAATAAGTTTAAAAAAAGGGGGAGAAATTAAAATATATGGGTAAGGTATTTAATAATTCTTACACTTGATCTGAAATCCAAACTCCTATATACATAATCTCTTCTTTGGGAAAAAAGAACATGTGTAAAATTGGCATGTCTTCTTCTCCTCTGTTACACTCTGATAACTGAAGATCTTAAAAAAATATCTCAAAAACATTGGTTAGCAAAATTTACAAAGTAATAACTCTTGTATAAAAAATTAATAATCTCTATTCAGTCTGAATTACTTGTGCCAGCACTTAATCAGGAACAGGACTTAAAATACATCTATGAAAACATCTTGACAAGCCTTCCATGCTTGTACCAGGTAAAATAAGAGATTCTCCATCATAAATAAAACCACAATACTTAAAAATCTCTTTCATCATGCTGCCAAAACCATCTTCTTTTTTGCCAACTTCTCTTTTTTATCCTTCCTCCTAAACCGATTTGTCAGGTGTTTCAAATTAAAGAATCTGTTGGTCTTTGAAGTCTGACCCGGCGTGTCCTCAGGGATGGCAAAGGGAATATCAGGAGTTTCTTCTAAACTGCTGCCAGGGTAATGGGTTGAAGGATCTGACATAACCACCTCAGCAGTATTTTGCACAGTATCTCTAGGTTCTACCAAAGGCTTGATTTCTGGATTCTTGAGATTCTTCAAATTTTCTTCAGACATCACTTCTTGAGACTTCATTTCTTGAGACTTCATTTCTTGAGACTTTATTTCTTGAGATGTGATTTCAGTTATTTCACACCTAAAAGCAAATCACGCTAAAATTAAATGGGGAAAAAAGTCTGAGATTTAGGGGAAAATGTAATGGGCCTGGTTTTACCTGCTACTTGTAGCCTCAATGAGATTTGGAATTGGTCTATCAATTGCAGCCATGATGGAATCCCTAAGTCTAGGCCAAAAGTTTCCAAACATTGATGCCTGCCGATAATCTAGACAATAGAGATAAGAAATCTCTATTGGTAAGCTGCATGGTTCATATCGGCAGGGTACAATTCTCTTGCATGCATTTCTCTCGTTCTGTTGTGCTACAATCAAATCACAATGTCATCATTATTACTGTTAAATGGTACAAGTAATCAAAATTACATGAACAAATGGGAGCATACTCACTGATACTTATTGTTTGAGCAAATGAAAGGAAAAACATTTTTTCATGACTGTTGAGGAGATTTGGTGACAGAATGACAATGAGGCTTGAGCAGCGCTCTGCAATCAGCTTTGTGATAGCTGAAAATTCGAGACCCACTCCACTGAGTAAGTCTCGATCCTTAACCACAAGCTGAAATATAAAATAAGAATAAACAGAACCCGAAACAAAGATGTCAAGAAGTTTGTACAGAACAAGTTAAAAAAATATTTTAAGTACACACCCTCAGTTTGAAATTATTTTCTAATTTGTCAATCATAACTTTTGCATATGAAAGATCTTCATCAGCATACAATAGAAAAGCATCATACTTGATGAGAGGTAAACCCTGACGAACTCTCTCAACATCCTCTGTAAACAGAAAGCACAGAACAGTTTTAGTGTGAATCATTCAAGTGATTTGTTAAAAACAAAAAAAGTGGAGATTATAATATTTAACACTTTACCGGTTGTCAAACAACCATTCTGAAATGGTTTGATAGCTTCATGTGGAGCAGGCTGAATTTGCAAAAGAGACTGAGAGTAATATTCAGCATCACTTTCTAAAACAAAGTATGAAATGATATCATTAGAAACTGAATCAAAAACCAGAGGGTAGCTAAAATTTTAAAATATGCATCGACATACTCATCATTTCTTCAGAGTCATCATAAACATCCCAACGATCTATTTGACCCAGGATATCTTGAAGGTCTTTGAAAGTTGGTGGTGATCCCTCTGAAGTAAGTTTGTTTTCTACCCATTGTTTGAGAACATCTTCAAATGGTGTTGAAGACTGTGATAATGACCTGGTGTTTACTTCAGCAAAATGAGCGACTCCTCGCCAATCTCTGAGAAAGTAAAATGTTTTCGACTAAGCATTCAGTTCGTATTCCAAGAAAATAAAAGGCAAATATAAGCGAACTAATCTGATACCTTGGAATGTTGTCGTCGGTGGGTATAACTCTGAGTTGATTCAGAGATGCTGATAAAAGGGTTTTGGTTCGATCACGAAGTTTGGTCACTGGAGTTTGTGATATGTCAATGATTCCTTGGACTGCCATCTGAGAAAACTTAAACATTAGTTCACAGAAAAGGTTGTAAAACTTCACGATCTTTAACGAGCACAATAACAAGGCAGAGAAAATAAATAAAATATGGTAGGTAATGAGGGGCAGCTTGGTTCAAACACACCTTTGGTTCTAGCGTAACCTGTGACCTTTCCTTAAAATGATTAAGGCAGGTAAAATAAAAAACAGCCCAATACTAATTCCTGTAGAACACACATCTGAGTACGTCAAAACGAAAAACAGAGGAACATAAGAAAATTAGACCACTTGTTGCACTCTCTCTGCAAGCAAAACAGGACACGAAACAACAAAAACAAGCACAGGAAAAACAAGCAGAAGGGAAACAGTATGACGTCAGAGGAAAATTGACCACTTTGACCAAATATCAAATTAGAATGTTTTTTTCCCGTTTCACCTACAAAACTATTAAGAAACGAATTTTCCTTTTTTTTTCACATTTTTAAAAGAGCCAAAAGTCATGATGAAACGATTGCATTTTATTTTGCGTGACTGTACTCTCGAAAAACTAAGTGTTTTGTTTCTGGAAAACACCTATTATTTGCGAGCTTTATTTTAACTTTAAACACCGTTTAATATTTATTTTTTGCTAATTTTAGTTTGGTCAGGAGAACTGTCCCTTTAATACCGAAACCTTACGTAACCCTACATATCGATCTTAAGTTACGTCGCAGTTCACTTCTGCTTCTAGAATGTACCTTGGCTGTCCTTGTTCAGTTCTGTCTGCTGACTGGTAAAAGTTTTGAACCGCTGAAATATAATGGCAAGCGAAATGTTGACCAAGTCCTGCTGGGCAACACTCGGAAACGTAAGTACAAACGAAGTTTACAGTGAATGTTGTCTAGTGGCGTAGCAAACTTGAGCTGTCTGCTGATTTTCACCTGTCGGTGCTTACCGCAATCTACAAGTAGGGCTATGGTGCTCTCTCCAAGCCCCACCAATGGTTTAAAAAAAATAAAAACAAACCAACAGAGAGTTGCTTATCTGTTGAAAATAAAAGATTTGTGCTTATGTTTTTGACCGAAGTGTCACTCTTTACGTATGGATGCTATTTCACTACTGTCCCACACTTCACCTTATGTCTTGTTCATATTGCATAACTGCAATCTTGACAATATGTTATAGATCAGACGTATCCACACTACTGCTGCCTCTGGACAACGTTTGAAGAAATTCCTTGTGTACCGATGGAACCCAGACAAGCCCGAAGAAAAACCCTCAATGAAGGAATATGAGGTGGATCTGGACACGTATGTTTTCTGCCTACTTTCCTCTATTTTGGCATATTCTTTTTTTACTGTTTTATTGATAGGACATAAAATCAAATACTCAAACACTTTTTAATTTTCTTGTTCAGGAGTGGACCCATGGTGCTTGATGCCCTCATTAAAATTAAAAATGAAATGGATCCCACCCTTACCTTCCGAAGATCCTGCCGAGAGGGTATTTGTGGATCATGTGCCATGAACATTCAGGGTACCAACACCCTTGCCTGTATCAGGTAAAACTCTTAAAAGTGAACCTTTGTTCTCGGTTGACTAAATTATTCGAAGTTTATATCACCTTTCTGAATATATTTCAGCAACATTGACAAGAATCTCAACAAGCCCATGAAGATCTATCCCCTTCCCCACATGTATGTTGTCAAGGATCTTGTGCCAGACATGAACAACTTCTATAACCAGTACAAGTCTATCCAGCCCTGGCTGCAGCGCAAGGACGAGCCTGAGAGTGGCACTGCACAGTATCTTCAGAGTATTGATGACCGCAAGAAATTGGTACTTTTTCAATCAATTTGTAATTTTTTCTCAACTAGGAAACTATAAACCTGTCTGATCCTTTTCTCCCTTTATTCCTCCAGGATGGTCTGTATGAATGCATTTTGTGCGCCTGCTGTAGCACTTCATGCCCATCTTATTGGTGGAATGGTGACAAATATTTGGGACCTGCAGTGCTCATGCAGGTTTGTTACTTAATTTTTTTTTAAATTTTGATCTACATATCTCTCTTTTGGAGAGAAGCTACCTAAAAACATAATCTTATTTTTTCCATATTCAGGCATACCGTTGGATCATTGATTCACGAGATGAGTCAACTGCGGCTCGTCTAGACAGTTTGAGGGATCCCTTCTCTGTCTATCGTTGCCACACAATCATGAACTGCACCCGTACTTGTCCTAAGGTATGATCATTGGAATGCGTTACTATGTGAAATTTTGCAAACATTTTATTTCAATAAGTGTCTATTCTATTTTCCAGGGCCTCAATCCTGGAAAAGCAATTTCTGAAATCAAGAAGCTGCTGTCCGGTATTGTGAAGAAGGATAAGCCAGGTCTTGATACTGCTGCTTTACACAATTAGATAATTGGTGCAGGGCAACCATAGGTTCCAGTATTATGGCACAAACCTCTTAGTACTTTAATTACCAATTCATACTTGTCAAATGGGTTTTAGGTTTGACAAATAATTTTTGTGTCTGCTGAAAATTGCCTTTTAGTCCAATGTTGGGTTGTAAAAACTGTTAATTTTCTAGTAAGGTTTTTGGCTAAAACAGATTTTACTGTTCCCACCAACTGATAGCTTGATTCTCTTGGAGTCTGCCAGGAGTGGTCTGGCAGTGAGAGCTCATTCACCTGTGATTGATGTACAGTTATGTAATCTATTTATTGCAGCAATAATTTGCTACCTGTTGTGGAGTTCCTTTATTTATTATCAATTTGTGGAAAGAAATAAGACATTAATAGGGGCTTTTGATCATTTCAATTCAACTTTCATTAGTTTCTAGAATATACACAGTGTACTGGGTACCTGTTATCTCAATTCTACTCTTGATAAAAAGTCGTACTGTAGAGCAAACAAAAAGATGAAACCGTACCTTATCAAATACTGTAAGACAGTGAGTTGAAGAGTATCATTTTTCTTTATTCATCCTCACATGATTGGAAATAAAATAAATTGTTGAAACCAAACTTCCTGCTGATCTTCTATTTTCGTCTTTTGCGAGCATAACACCAAAACAAGTACAGTACAGAGCAGGCTCCGCAGCCGCGGCGCGGCGTCTCTACCCCTCGCAGTGATGAAAGTCCCCGACACGCGGAGTCGAGACGAGCCGCAAGGATCAATCGCTACCCACATCACGCATCGCATCGTCGGAACTAGTTCTTGCTGCCAGTGCCAGTTGGGTACTCGCTCCAGCCGCCCTTCCCGTAAACACACACGCACACATACACACTCACATTCCGGAGTCGACTCGACGCACCGGACACGGCGAGGTGGCAGGCTGCGGCCGGCGGACCGCTACGCCTTGGAGGCTACGCGCTCCGGCCCGCCGCGAGGGCCGCGAGCCACTCCGCCAGGTCCACCGCGATCCGCGTCCGCTGCGTCCGCGACCCGCGGGCTTCTTGGCCGCTGTCCGCGACAGTGTAGCCCTGGCATGGCGCGGCAGGCGCGGCCGCACCGCTACTGCTAGCTAGAGCCGCCCGCCTTCGCAACGCGTAGCAACGCAGCAACGCGGTGTGTCGCCGTTTCCCCGTTTATGACGGCATCATGAGGGCATAAAAGCCCCAATTGGGGATAGAGGTTGCTGATAACCGGCCTGCATCGCTGATACGCAAAGCTCGGCCCTTCCTGGCGTGGAGTGCATTCCCCGAAGCCCCCCGCTCCCGCCAGTCCCACCCCTGCCGCGTTCCGAGTTTGAATGGAGGCAGAGGCGGAGGAAGCAGAAGAAGCATCCTGTAGCCTAGCAACCCGCACGACGCCGCGCAGTGCGGTGAAGCGGCTGCTGCTGCGATGTTTACGTGGTCCAAACCGACCTGAAGATGCGTTTCGAGGCTTCTCCAGTCACTCTGTGATCCTGTTGACGTCCTTCGTAGTCGTAAGTGTCGGGAAAACACGGGTGTGCCTCGACGATCCCGTTCTCCACCGATCTTTGCGCGGAAGAGAAAGGGGTTGCCAGAGTGGGACTGTTTGTTGGTTACGTCCCAAATGTTTACATTCCGCATTCTTTGCATTTTTGGTACATTCGCCTTGCACGGACGCGAAACATGCGCTGAGATGAAGTTTTAGCCGTCTTGTGGGCTGTTAACGTGAGCTATCCTGTTATCTCAACTGTCAGCAATCTGTAGATAATGCATGTTTAGTGCCCAATTGTCGCGGTAACCCCCTTACACCAGAAACACTCATTTTCCCTGTCTGTTGCTCCTCTGTTCTGAAGCGGTGAGGTTTGACCTCTGATCGGTTGAGAAACCAATGTCACTTAATTTAACTCGTCGATGAGAGTTTCTTACTTTTCTTTGGTGTGCACTCCAAACCTGGGAGCTGTCAAGCAACAGGTGTCTTGTCATAACACTGTTTCACAACTCATCGAGTTTAATGGAATTATTAGAGATTTTTATAACTATCTTTTGTTTTTATTTCAGGGAATAGCAAAGTTTGCTTGAAGTTTTAGTTATTTTATTCACATGTAAGACATCATAACATCCTTTAAAATGCATGAACTCTTTACGCAAGTCCTCAGCAAGAAGGATCTGTCAAAGGTATTTATACTTTTTAGCCCTTGATAAATAGTGCTTCTTACATGTCTTTTTTTCTGACTGATTAAATCTATTTTCACATTATTTAGGCTGGGGATTTATTCTCAGTAGCTGATGCAGAGATAGTAAATGATTTGACAGAAGTTGTGACCACAATTGCTGAGATCGCCAGTCTTCCAGATTATGTCAATAATGACAATGATCAAAGTGTTGTTGAGATTTGCATTACTAGAGTTACTTCTGCAATCAGGTTAGTCATCAAATCTAATTTGTATTTCAATTCCATGTTTTCTTTAGCATAGATTTTTAATAACAATTACAAATTTCTTTCCAGAGAAACAAATTCTATTGAGCAGCATTCCGAGGCACTTGTGTCTCTGTTGGAGTCTTGCCTTAACCATAATTTAAAGCCATCGGCACGTGATGAAGACCCACCTCATGCCAAAATTTCTTCTGATATTATATCTTGCATATTTTTGGTAAGCTTAAACAAGTACAGGACAACTATTACCATATTCTTCTAATTCAATGTGACACAGTATTTCATGTTACTATACTTATTTTTCTTGTATGCAGAATTATAACAAAAAGGAGGTGATGCGTCGCGCCCTCCCTGTTGCTGTCAAGTTCTTGCATAAGGGCAATAAGGAGTTGTCCAGAAATATGTCATCGTACTTATCACTTGCTGCCATTGAAAATGCTGATCTTCTGTCTAAACATATTCAGTTAATAATTGACTCAATTATCTCAGGTAAAGTTCTAACTTTTCCCATGTTGAATACACATATTCAGTAAAGTGTGCAGTTAAATTTTGGTCTTGTGTAACAATTTTTTATTTTTCCATTGCAGGAAATTTCTCATTGTGCAGAGTTCTGCCACAAATTTATGAAGTAACCAAGGAGCCTGTCCATGAGCATGCAATGGCTCTGGTCTCCCTTCTTCCACTTTGTGAAAATCAGGAAAAGCTGGCACTTCTATTGTTGTTTGCAATGATAGCCAAAAACAAACCAGCACTTCTAGAACCAAGCCTGCCTCAGCTTTGTGAATATTTGAGTCAAGCAGCTACTGCTTCGGACACAATGAAAGTGTTTGTTAACATGGCTGAGAAGCGACCTCAATTGTTAGTTGATCACCTGCCACAAATCAAGAAAGTTGTTGAATGTCATCCCAATACACTTTGCCTAGCTGCTCAGGTCATTTCATCAGTTGGGAAACTGAGCAAAGATAGAGCCCAGGAGGCTCTTAATTTTGTCTTGGAACATTTGCCAAAAGCAGATCGCGGTTCGCAGCACACACTTCTCCATGAAGCTACTCGCCTCTGCAGTTCATATCCGGTCTTATTCACGGATAAAATGTTGCAAGGTGTACGTCAATGTGGACAAAAGCATACTACTCCACATGTTAATTTAACGTCGGGTGGAGTTACAATAGTCAAAGTAGGAGGAAGTACAGAGGAGAGTAATGGAGGAAAGAGGAGCTCTGGGAACAGTCGCCAGTCTCATTCTGAAGTAAATGGAGCTTTAAACAGACAAGAAGCTAATCGTCTGGTGATCAGTCGACCAAGACTTGGAGGTGATAGTCGAAGCACAGGCCGATTGCATGTGTCAGGTGCACACCGTAGTATGACTCGTCTTAATATCAGTGAGTTCTTCATTTACAACTTTCTGCACTTTTTCAAAAAGGACCATTTCCTGACTTAACTTGTTACCTTGGTGTTCTCTTCAGCAGGTGGGGGAGGAGCAGGAAGTGGAGGAGGTGGAGGCACAGGCACAGGCACAAGTGGTGGTGGAGGGGTCAATGGCAATGGCAGTAGAATTGGGTCCGTTGGAGGCCTCCATAAGAGCATGACTCGATTAAGTTCCAGTCAGCAAATCAATCTAGTACCAAACAGTGCCTTGCCATCTCCATCTGCGACAGGTGCATTGGCTCACACTTCTTTGAGCTCAAATAATCGTTCAGTGACAGCTATCAATAATAGCAATCAGCGTAATAGTCAGTACGGAATATCAAGTGGTGGAGTTACAGTCACAACTACTCAAGATTCTGCTACTTCTGCCCGTTCAAGCATGTAAGTGATAGTAATTATACCTATAGTTTATATCTTAAAATTATGTTTACAAGCCAAAGTAACTAAGTGCAAAATAAATTAAGTGGTCTTTTGAATTATTTTTCTGCTTTTAGTGGTGGAAGTGGATCTGTTTTGAGAGATGATCGTGAGCTTGTGTCAATTTCTACTTCATTCCCTCTCAATGGTCCTCCAGTGACTTATCACACAACAAGAGACTCCAGTAAGTTTTGTAAGATTTTTAAACAACAATAATGCACACTTAAATGTTTTATGCTTATTTGTTGTTTTTTTTCTAAATTGCAGCAGGAAATGTTGGGAGACTTCAGCATACCCATGTCCATTCAACATCTCAGCAGTCTCAGTTGCAGAGTTCAACATCCTCTCAGTCAATGCTATCATCACACACAATGAAACACTCATCCAACCAAATTGCTAATCATAATGCTCTGGGTGAGTGACTCCTAAAACAAGCTCCATAATCCTCTCTCTGGTTGTCTCTTACCCCTTCCTGTTCAACAACTCTTGTGCTTTTACCAAAACTTTTGTTTTCCTTCCAGTCAATTCTCAACAGCAACAACTCCTACAACATGGACAGCAAAATCAGCATCTACAGTCACAACATTTACAGCAGCAGTTGCAGCAGCAACAGCCTCCATACACACAGCCGCAACAACCACCCCTCCTTCAACAAACGCAGCAGCAACAGCAGCCCCCTTCAATGCCAGCTCTGTCAACCCCAAGTCTCCCTGCAGCTTCAAATAGCTCAGTGTTACAAACTCAGCCTAGTTCATCGGCTCTAAATTCAAATCAAACTCCTCACTACTCCAGTGTGGTAACTCCTCGTAGACAAAACACTAGTGTAACAATTATCTCAAGTAATTCATCCGGAATCAATCCTTCAATGGCTGCAGCGTCTCAGGTTAGTTGAGGCACTGTGCTGAGGTACTGGGACTGTTTTGATTATTAATGCTGAATTTTTATCTGTGTGTGTTTGCTAACAGAGAATAAGTGTATTTGAACCGTACCCAATGAGGGACACTGTGCAACACTTTTGTGAAAAGCATCTGGATAAAATCAAATCATACATGGACAAAGTCTCTCGGTGCATACCTCCTCCTGCCAAGTGCACTATTGAAGGTGAAAGACTGAAAACTGATAGAATGATGATGATAAACTTTATTCAAATATTGTTAATTATTATTTTTTTACAAATGTCTGACTTGATTTTCCTGTTTTGATTCAAACAGAGAGGAGAGCTAAAAAAGTTGCCAAGCTCCATTTTGCTTGTCAAGGAAGAGGTGAACATTGTCTGTACAACAGGACATTTTTCACCATGAAAACAAGAAATCCTCGTATCTGGATTCATCTCATGTTCTTATCACTGCAGGTAAATCTAACTGAAGCACAAAAATAATTTTTTAAATCTTAACAGAATTTATTAAATTTGTTTTGAATCCTAGGCTAGATCACAATCTGCGTTAAGCTCCCGAGATTCATCAGTCAGTAGCTTGAAAAACTGTTGGGACATTTTAAAGTGTGAGAATAAAACTTTCCTTACTGTGGTCACATCAGCATTTCCTTGCTCAAAGGTAAAAAATATTCATCATTTGTAAATTCCTTGTAAATTTTTCCTGGATTGTACTGTTAATGTTTTTCTGATCCTTGTTTATTCTAGGACCAAGAGGCACTTACAAATGAGTTGAGACATTCTGGCTTTTTTGACGTGTTGGAATATGTTGGTGTGGGTGGAGGAGGAAATGGAATATCTGATGGGCCCCTCTGGGGCTGCTTCCTCTGCAACCATCCAGAGCGAGCTGTTGGTTTCCTTCAGGATTCCCAACCAGTGATTGAAGGGCAGCTCAAAGAAAAGAAAGGCCGCTGGCGGCTATTCAGGCGGTGGCGAACTCGTTACTTCACTCTGTCACCAGCCCACTTGTCCTGTAAAGGATCGGTAAGACAACCTATTGATGCCTGGCATGCCAATTTTTTTTTTAAAGATACTTTAAAGAAACTTTATCATTATTCAACTTTCCTTAATTTGCAGAAAGATGACAAGGATGTGACACCCATTGAAGTGAATCAGATAAGAAGCGTGAAAGTCAGTCGAGGAGCCCGAAACATTCCAAAAGCTTTTGAAATATTTACCGGTGATCAATCGCTCATTCTGAAACCTAAGGATGGGAAGAATGCAGAGGCTTGGGTCCAATGTCTGTCAGTTGCTTTGGCTCATTCTCATGCTCGTGATTCTCCATCTAACAAGACTCATTCTTTGCCAGCTACTTTACGTACACCTATTTAATTTTTAGGAAGATGAAATCAAATGCTGTACCCCTGAGATTAAGAATGGCCGGGGGTCATTGCATGTTATCTCTCTCTCTCTCTGAAGAGTTCAAAAGATTTTGTGACAATTTAAAAAAAATACTCGGGACGGGCCAATAAGCATTAGCAGCTGGCACAAAAGCATAAATATTATCTTTACTGGGGAACTTTCACTGTTACTACGACTGCCAGTTATCTTTAACTTTTATTGTTGTGTATTTTAACATACTACGTTTTTATATATATTACATATATAATCATGAATATTTATTTTTATTATGAATATGTATATCATTGTTGTTATCAATATACTTGTTATTTATGGAAGAATTATAGGAGAAGAATAATGAAGTTGCTCATAATCTTATTTTATTTCAATGGTGTCTGTTCGTACATTCCAGAGTTACAGTTGTGTGAGTTGATAAACAACTCACAAAAATATATTTATATCAAAAATTTTAAATGTCGCTGATATTGTATCTTAGTACAATAAAATCTCAACATAATCATTTGTTACTTGAAGAGGCTTGACTTTTGCATTCCAACTCCAGTAACTGCCTCACAAAACCTGCGTTTGGTTTTGCCGCAGGTCTCTTTTCTTTTACTAGTGCATTGGCCTTGGAGTATGTAAACCCCCTGTGCACCATCAAAAATGCTATGACTACCATTGGAGATCTTGACACACCAGCATTACAGTGAACAAAGACGCTCCCTCCTTTACTGATGGTTTCTTCAATCAGAGGCAGAGCTGTTGCAAGTGCAAAGTCAATTTTTTCATCAGGTAAATCCAATGCAGGAACGAATGTATAACACAGTTGTGACATTTCAGGGAGAGGTGCAACTGAAACTCCTATGCTTAGAATGTGAGTTATTTGATACTTCTTTAACAGCTCTATGTCCTGTGTGACATCTTGTGAACCAAGGTACAGCATTGATGGAAGAATTTCAGCTACTTGTAAGTCAGGCTTGGTGTCTACTACAAAGCCTGGACACATTTGATTTTTTTCTGGAACTTCATGGGATGTTTGTTTACCTTGCACAACCTCTTCTATAATGGTGTTTCCTTGAATTGTGGTTACTCTTGTGCAGGTATGGTTGAGCAGAGTGCGCTTCTTATTTAGTTCATGAAGGAAACTCATGACTGACTGTCTGCTTTTGACCTTGGTTTAATTTTTCAGGGATAACTTATATTCATCCAGGAGATTGACTAATTTTTTATATTCCTGGTTGACATATGTAGTTCTATTAACAAGCAAGTCCTCTTTCTTATAAGTCACTTTGGCCAAATATAAACCATAAGCAGGAGCAACTGGACGTGAAAGTGGGATGGGTGTGGACAATTCAAGTGATCTTCGCACATCAGCTACACTCAGTCTCCCAAGTCCAACTGCTATTGCAGCAGCAACCATCCGTCGCACCTGGATATCAGATATTTATAACATAACTTATTCTATAATTTGCAAGAATTTTTGTTTTGTTTTTGAGAAATGTACAATATTTATTCTTACCTGACGATACAAAAAAGATCTTCCTTCAATGATAAAATCCCAAAAGTCAAAATTATTTATTGACGGCTCATACAGAAGCGGCATTAAAGCGTTCCCACGCCTAATACAACAAGAATCAACATGCCGAATTGGAGTGCGGTCCACAAGTGCTCTTGATGGTTTCCCAGAGAATGAACTAAAATCATGAACTCCAGGAAAAATGGACAATACTTCTTCAACTGCTTCAATATTAAAGTTGCTCACGCTGAAAAAATCGGAAAACCAAGTAACATTATTTTGAATCTTTAAATTCTAAAAGGGATGGCTGCAATGAAGTACCTGAGAAAAAAACAACGATCTACTTCAGAGATAGGGATTGCTTCATTTTCACAGTGAGCTTTTGGGACAGCGATTCTGTACAAATAAGATCGTTGTTTAGCCCAAGTTCGAGCATTGAAATCTTGAGAAACCTGTTGAATGGAGATAATTCTGAAACAAACAAATCATGCAGTTATGTATTTCCTAGATTATGGTCAGCGAGCTATTGAATATTGTTCTTCAAGACAAGAATGACACTTCATGATTCACCTCAAAGGCAGGTGCCGTTTTCGAAAATAATAATTTACAGTGGTTAATAAATTATTTGCACTGTAACATTTGTCTTCAACAGTGAAGTCAACATGGGCTGTATTTAGAAGAGCATGTACTCTCCTGTCCGTCCTGTTTAGGAACAAATCTTATTACATCGACATGTTGAAAATAAGGATGGCATGAATGTGGCAAACATTGACTTGATGAACCTGCTTGATATTACTAGAGGTGATATATCATCTATGCCAAGTTTCTTGCGTTTATTGTGGAAGGCACGCTCCAAGCAACCAATGACAGTTGTAAGGTCAATATCCTTCGAAGTTCTTGCACTGGCACTGTCAATTGCAAGAGTAGAGCAGAGTGATCATACAAAAGAAAAGTTAAAATAAATAAGTACTGAAAAATTTGCTGCGAGCAGCTTTCCAAGAAAATAGAGTTTAATCATAACACACTTGAAAGGGGAGCCAATGTAAGAGAATGAGAGAAGATAGCGTGCCCTTGCCGGAAAAGACATGGAATCCTTATTGAAGGGACGCGGTTCAAAAGTAAATCATAAACACAAATTATTCAATCATAACATAACAATCCATGAATCCAAAACCGGCCAAATGCAGCTCTGTTCCTGTTGATTTCTCATCCACCAAAGTGGTTCCGGTGCCACTAATTTTTCATCTGATTTTTCAATCCCCGCTGCTATCATTTGTTTTAAAAAATTCGAACATACGATAACAAACGTAAGTTAGTTGTTCATAGTTCAAATTAATCTTGGGAGATTGATTTATACTGCATGCCTTAGTAAGATATCGAAATGCCATATTTCCACCCTCCATTCATGTCTTAGTGATAATGACAGTGTTTCTTTGATTTGTGTTTCACACAAATCGTGAAGCCAGGTTATGTTATTTTAAATAATCTTGTTTTTGGATTTTTGACATGTTTGGATTTCAGGTACATATTCCTCCATCTATTAGGCCCATTCTAGGTTTGATGCTTACACCATGGATCCTGATGAAGCTAGTGAGTCAGATATTGGTACAAAGTCCCCAATAGAAGGGAAAAGCGCTTCAGACGAAAATTGTAGCAATCCAGATGAAGGTAGTGACAGTGCGAAAGAATCTACCAGTCAGGCTGCCCACATGGATCCCAAAAACCTACACTATGAAGGTGAAGTGTGTGTCTATACCGATCCTGATACCAAGTACCAGTACCAGTGGGACAATGGCACCCAACAGTGGACTCCAAGGGGACAGCAACTCAAGACAGCGGATGCCAGTAAAGATATGAAGCCACCTGGAGGTAAACTTTGATTCAATACTCTTCTTTATAACTGATATGTTTTGGGCAAAGTATTTTAATACAAACTTAAATTTTTCAGATCAGAATTATGAGTTTGATGGAGAGACATACACCTACACAGATTCTACATCAGGTAAAATTCTTTTGTAATCTCAAATAGTTTTGCAATTTGCATGTAATTTAAGCCGCATCTTAATTTTACTTTTACAGGTTTAAAGTACAAATGGGATAAGGATAAAAATGAATGGGTAACAAAACCAAACAGCTCAAATATGGAAAAACCTAAGGGCCGTAAAAAACTTCCAGATGAGGAAAATGTTGAAGAAAATGATACAGATGAAGAAGAGGATAATGTGAAAAATGTACCTAGGCAAGATATGTCCAGTGGACATTACGGTTTTGATGGTGAAAATCATACATATACTGACCCCAAGGATGGTGCTATCTATTTCTGGGACAAGCAAAAAAATGCTTGGTTTCCAAAGGTTAGTAAGTGTGGTCGCAGATATTTGGTGGAAATTGAAAATTATGATCTCATGTTTTACTCTATTTTGGCAGGTAGATGATGATTTTATGGCTCGATATCAAATGAGTTATGGTTTTGTGGAAAATAAATCTGATGTTGACAAGGATAATGAAAAAGACGCAGTTCTTAAACCGGACCCAGCTGAGGCTAAGCGTAAAGCTCAAGAGCCACCTCGTAAGTGCATTCCAATCATCTATCACTGCTTGGTTAAAAGTTTTTAGTTTGTAGCGTACAAGAATAGAATTATGTTTTACCTAGACACTCTGAATACTCTCTTTTTCAGAATGGTTTGATCTTGATGAACGCAGTAACACCAAAGTTTATGTTAGTAACTTGCCTCTAGACATTACAGAACAAGAATTTGTTGATTTGATGCAAAAGTGTGGCCTTATTATGAAAGATGCTGATACAAATAAAATGAAGGTAAAATTATATCATGAACCAGGTGATCCATCAGTTTTAAAGGGAGATGGTCTGTGCACCTACATCAAGGTACATAAAATTTTCTTGTAAATGTTAATTTTTTTTTCTATTGACTGTGGAAATTGTTGATGATTTTATTTGTGTTTTAGAGAGAATCTGTGGATTTAGCTTTAAATATTCTTGATGGATATGAAGTGAAAGGGAAACAGATAAAAGTAGAATTAGCAAAGTTTGAATTAAAAGGAGCCTACAATCCAAGCCTGAAACCTAAGAAAAAACGAAGGAAGGACAAAGAAAAAATTAAGAAAGCTCAAGAAAAGTAATTTACCACCAATTCTATTGTATACAGATTTGACAAAAGAACACAGTACAAACTTTGTATGCTTTCTTTCAGATTGTTTGATTGGAGGCCAGACAAATTAAGAGGAGAACGTTCAAAACATGAGAAAACTGTCATCATCAAAAATTTATTTGACCCTGAAATTTTTGATACTGATGTAGGTTTGATTCTAGAGTTTCAGCAAGATTTAAGAGAGGAAGCATCCAAATGTGGAAATGTGCGCAAAGTAATTGTCTATGATGTGAGTAGTAAATTAAAATTTAATTTGTGTCAGTTTCTGGTCTACTCATTCTTTCAAAATTTAACTTCTGTTTTTAAAATATGTTTTGTAGAGACACAAGGATGGTGTTGCTCAGATCAATTTTAAGGATCCTGAGGAAGCAGATGCTTGTGTGCAACTTTTCAATAATCGTTGGTTTAATCAAAGGAGAATCACAGCTGAAACATGGGATGGGAAGACAAAGTATAGGTGTGTATGGTTTTTTTTTCTTCTCTCTGGATATTATATCTACTGACATGAACAATTATTCTCAATGAGTTTGTCTGTTTGTTTCAGGGTGGCTGAAAGTGCAGAGGAAACTGAAGCCCGTCTTGCTAAATGGACTAAGTTCTTGGAATCTGAAGAAGGGAAAAAGTCTCTTGGTGCAAGTAATCATCCAAATGATGATCAAGATTCAGATGAAGATGAAGATCAACAAGAGCAGTCTTCCCAGAAGGAATCTAAATCAGATGAAGCAAATATTTCTGGCAATAAAACTCCACTACAATCATGACTCTTCCTTAGGGTCTGATCATTCCTACTTATTGTTTTTCATTTTGTATGTTATAATTTTTTTAAAAATGAAATATACACCATGAAGTTTTGCTTTTGACTGCGCTGGAACTATGTGATTCCTCTCCATACTCTACTTTTCATTCTATTTTAGATCAATAAAAGCAAATTACTAAGTAAAAGAGTTGCTCTTGGTACTATTGCACCGAACCGTACACGTTTGCGGAGTAGGACTTGGAATCTCATGCAGGTGAATCAAAAAGTTCCACCACAATCATGATTCATCACTCTAGTTTGCCCTGCCGGCCGAACTTCGTCCAGAAGAGACCTTTGGTGTCCAATGCCTCCTCCCTCCTCTCACGTGGGAGTGTGGCGGACAGCCGTGTGATTCCAAAGGGTCGTTCCGTCGCTCTGTCTCTGTCGCACTCATGGGGCGTTCCGTAGGGGTGCGAGAGAGACAGGGCGACGAAACGATCCTTCGGAATCGCTCGGCAGGACGTGGAATGCAAATCAGCTCGCACTGCTTTCCCCAAACCACGGTGTTCTATTGCGAAACGAACGCCCAGCGCCCAGCGATCGCTTAGTCCAGAACCAGCAGCGAGAAAGAAAGGACCCTGCCGGTGGGCCCGTACTGCCTGTGCCCGTGCCGCGCGCGGTGTCCTGAAGCCAGACTCGACACTAGACGCACACGTCAAGCTTCTCGCCTTTCTGAGGCTGCAGCAGCGATAGCGAGCGATAGCCATGTCGGCCAAGGGGATCAAGGCCTCGGAGAAGCGGCCCAGGATCAGCGAGTTCTTCGCGGGCAAGTATGTGCTGGTGACGGGGGCCTCGGGCTTCATGGGGAAGGTGCTGCTGGAGAAGCTGCTTCGCTCGTGCCCGGGCGTAGCGGGGGTGTTCCTCCTGCTCAGGCCCAAGCGCGGCAAGGCGATCCAGGAGCGCGTCGACGAGATGCTGCAGTCGCCCGTGAGTCATCCGTTTCCTTTGCCGACACCGAGTTTGCAGTGTAGCGGTCATTGAGGGGCTCGTTGCTTTGCAGCTGTACTCTTTGCTGGAGTCGCGGTACCCGGGACTGGCGCGCCGCGTCCTGGTGGCCGTCAGCGGCGACGTGTCCCTGCCGGGGCTCGGCCTCTCCGCCGAGGACCGCGCCATGCTGCAGGAGAAGGTGGCCGTGGTGTTCCACGGCGCGGCCACGGTGCGCTTCGACGAGCCGCTCAAGAACGCCGTCATCATCAACGTGCGTGGCACGCGCGACGTGGCCGAACTGGCCGCCGGCATGAAGAAGCTGCGGGTACGGCGACGCCCTCTCCCCCAACTCCCCCCTCCGTGAGGTCTGAAATTGCGCGGGTCGCGATAAATACCGTGGTGCGTCATCTGCGCTGGACGGCGCGATTCGTAAAAATAAGCGAAACTGGCCGGCGCCCCACATGATCTCGCCTCCATGGAGGCGCGCGGCGCGGTGATACCAATACCTTACTAGCCGTCTAGCCGTCCGGGCGGATAGACGGGCTGCGGCATCAAGGACCATTTTATCGAAAGCAGCATTGCGCGCTGCAGTTCTATTACGAACGTCATTTTGCCACTCGGTCTCCCTCGGACTCACGGGCGTCCCGTGTGGGTGCGAGAGAGACAGCGCCCGAACCCCATTCGAACCTCGTTCAACCTGCTGCGTGGGGTGGCCGAGGCTGCCGCTAACTCAGCTAACTGCCGTCTTGCTGCCGTCGCTCCGCAGGCGTTCGTGCACGTGTCCACCACGTACTGCAACGTGGACCGGCGGGAGATCGAGGAGAAAATCTACCCGCCGCACGCCGACTGGCGGCAGATGATCACCGCCGTGGAGAAGCTCGACAGCGACGAGCTGACCGTCCTCACGCCCAAGTAAGTGGCACTTGGCGCGAGAAAACTTTGAGGCGGTGCAATACGGGACGAGACGGGACGGGACCGGCTAAGGACCGGCCGGGCGGCAGGCCGTCTCCGAGAGTCGCGTTCGTCGCTCTGTCTCTATCGCAGTCGTGGGGCGTCCCGTGTGGGTGCGAGAGAGACAGAGCGACGAAAACGACTCTCGGAATCAGTCTTCTGGCCGGGCAGTTGCCTCGGCGTCGTTAAACGGGCGTCGTGCATCATCAAGGCCCCGCCGCGCCCCGCGCCACGGTGCTACGGTCCCCGTGTGCTTGCTGCTTGCAGGGTGCTGCGCCGCCTGCCCAACACGTACACCTTCACCAAGTCGCTGGGCGAGCACTGCGTCTACTCGTACCGTGACAAGATCCCACTTGTCATATTCCGGCCCTCCATAGGTGAGAGACTGAGACTCGCCGCCGCCTAGCTCGCGTGGCTTGACGCCGCCGCCGCCGCTCCGCGCTCCGCGGCCGCGATACAGCCGAGGACGCCGGACCACTTCTTCGATCCCATTCTGTCCAGCGCCGCCAAGGCGTCGCGGCGTCGCGGCGCCGCTCCAGTCCAGTGTCGCCAGCGCGGCGGCGTCGCGCCACTGCGCCCTGGATGCTGGATGGATGTCGCACGCGTCGTGAAATATGAAATATACGGCCAGTTTGCGAAAGCACTCTGCGTTGTGGGGAGGGAGAGACACTCCACGTGGTCCCCGAATGTATCGGCGTGTGGTGCCCGGTGCAACTGCGAGGGTTCGAGCCCTCCCCTCGGCCTGATTTTTTCCGGTGTGCTTTGCAGTGATTTCCTCCATTGCCGAGCCGATGTCCGGCTGGATAGACAACTTCCAGGGCCCCGTGGGGCTGATGGTGGCCGCCGGGAAGGGGGTGGTGCACATCGCCCTGGCCGAGTCCACCGTCACGGCGGACTACATGCCCGTGGACATCGCCATCAAGGCCCTCATCGTGGCCACGTGGGACCGCGCCTGCAAGTGCGTCGGGGTTTTACTTTGAGCAGCGCTGTTGATCGCACCGCCATGACCGCCCCTGTCCCTGACTCCGCGCAGGAAGGCGGACATCGAGCCGCCGGTCTACAACTGCTCGTCGGCGGCCGTCAAGCCCGTCACCATGGCGGAGATGGTGGCCATGGCGCGGCCGCTGGCCGCCGAGATCCCCTTCGACAACGTGCTCTGGCCGGCCCTCGGCCTCACCACCAGCTCGCCGACGATCCTGCTCATCGGCACCATCTTCCTGCACTTGCTGCCCGCCCTGATCATCGACGCGGTGCTCAAACTCAAGGGGAAGCGGCCGAGGTAGGGGGCCGCCGGAGGTGGCTTTTGGAAGTGACGCCGTTTCGGAGACGGCCGATCGCACCGACGGCCACCTCTAGTTAGGGGTGGTCCGAGCCAAGCCGCCCCCGGCGGTCTGACCGTCTGACCGCGCTCGGCTCGGCCGCTCCGCGCTTCAACGACCTGGCCGCGCTGGCGGGCGGTGGTTCTAGCCGTTACGTCCCGCGGTCCCGCGAACGGTCGTTAAGCGGGGTCGCCGCGCGGTCAGGATGGGTGGGCCGGGCGCCGGGCGGCGTCCGTGGCCCCACGCCACCCTGGTGCTGCTCATGGTGCTGTTGGAGGCAGAGGCCGGCGAGGGGGGCGGCCGGGCGGGGAGACCTCAACGCGCGGGGTGCGCGGGGTGGCGCAGTTAGCGACGCCCCCGAGAGGCGGCCCGAGAGGCGCCCGAGAGCCCCGAGGGTCAACGACGGCTGTAACGCGGCCCCTTTACTATCATCGGCGACCTCGTCCCGTTTCTGACTTCTTCTCCTCCCGACAGGCTGTGGAACATGCAGCGGCGCATCTACGCGGCGCAGGTGGCGCTCGCGCCGTTCCTCACCAGCACGTGGATCTTCCGCAACCAACTCGGGCTCGACCTGGACAACAAGATCCTCCCCGAGGACTACAGCGACTTCACGTTCGACTTCCGCGACGTGGACGAGACCGCGTACTTCCGGCAGCTGGCCGTGGGCGCGCGGCGGTACTTGCTCAAGGAGAAGGACGAGGACCTGCCGAAGGCCAGGGCGCATCTCCAGAGGTGAGAAAGAGAAAGGCCTTCGGTATTTGAACCCGCGTCTCCCACCCTCCCCGACACGAGACTCCCGTCAAGGCTGCAATACCTCAAATCAGAGCCGTACATCTGCTCTGCCTCAAATCAGATGCCCTTTGATTTATCTCAATTTGTGTTTCTTCTACCAATCTGTCCTCATTTCTTGCTTCCAGGATGTCGAACATCGACACAGTGCTCAGAGGACTGTTGCTGGTGCTCGTGCTGTATTGGGCGCTTCAGCGCCAGATCTATATGCTGCCAATTAATGCTATCCGCTTTCTGCTCACGATGTGAGGGGAGGGCCCCGCCATGGGAATCGTTGCCCGGGCGGCCGGGCCTGCCGGGCCGGGCCGGGTCGACTAGTTGGCTAGAGGCATAAACCCAGCCCGTCGCAAGGAATGCCCGCTTGCCGCTTGCCCCTCAAGAAGAAAAAAAAACGAACACCGCTTACCCCCGAAGCTCTCGTAAGAAACGCACATTTTCATTTCAATCATTTCAATCGCCGTCCTTAGTTTTATTGAGGAGCCCCTCCTGACCCGTGACTTATTAATGACGAGACGTACCGGCGAGAAAACGAAAATAAAGCCACGCGATTGATTTATCCGAGCTGATGACATGCCCCCGAGACAGCATAGCGGACTGATTCCGAGAGTCGTTATCGTCGCTCTGTCTCTCTCGCACTCACGGGCGGCCCGTTTAGGTGCGAGAGAGACAGGGCGACGAAAAGGACTCGCGGAATCAGTCTGCAGCGACAGCGGGCTGCGAACGCGCTGGTCCCGCGGGGAGGCCGCGGCCCGCGGGTCGATGGCCCGAGGGCACGCCGCAGTGCTCGCCGCACGCCGAGAGCCGGTGGTGGCGACACTGCAGACTGATTCCGAGAGTCGTTTTCATCGCTGTGTCGCTCGCACTCTCGGAGCGTTCCGTTTACATGCGAGAGAGCCGGGGCCGCAATACGACTCTCGTAATCAGTCTGCTGCCGCCGCGGCACCCGAATATCTTGAACTCTTTCCCTGGGAAAGACTGGGGGCTGCAGCGGCACGGGGGTCCCGGGGGGGGGGGGGGGGGGGAATCAGCGCGGTGAGGAGTAAGCGCGGCAAGCGGCAACGACCGCGTGTCTGCGCGGGACGCGGGACTGATCGTGGTCCGATGGCGGCACGGCGGGGACACGGGGCACTACACGGGGACACCGCGGGCACGGAGATAGTAGAGGTTGGCCGGGATCGAACCCGAACCTGAACCCGCGGCACGACGGCGCACAGCGCAGCGCCGCGCAGCACGGCCCGCCCGTAAAGATGCAAATGCGTGTCGCCGTCGTCGGCGTGCCCGCGCCGCCCCGCCCCGCCCGGCCCGGCCCGGCCGCCGCCACCACGCCGGAAGAGGTTGGCCCCCGGGGAAAGGTTGGCCGCGAGCCGCGCCGACCGAGCTGGCGACCTACCACCGGGACCATGGGAAGTGTCGCCTGTGATGCAAGGCGTTTTCCCCTCCTTTCGAACTGAAATCAACGAACGTCGCGGATGACAGAGACTCTTTCTATTTGCCGCAACGAGCTGGCCTTGCGCGAAAGAAGATGGAAAATCAAGATTGTGCAATATTAAGTTTGAAAATAAATATTAAAGACAGATTATTACAGTGTCGTTATGACTTGTTTCGCGCACCCGATGCTTGATGATGGTGCGGCCTCTGCCATCTTGTCCTGGTGGCAGCACGCGCGCATACTCTCATACAAGCGCGCGCACACTAACACACATTCACACTCACACTCACAAATACACACACACACACACACACACCACGGTGCGAGAGTTCCCTACACACGCCTCGGCGCAGGTGTGACGTTGTGCAGGTGCTGGTGGGGCTGGCCGGTGCCCCGACCCCACCCTGCCCCGCGCTGCATACAATGGGTCGTTGGCACCAACAAAATATAGAGCAGTATTTACTCCGCCACGGAGCGTGGAGCGTGACGGCCTGGCCAGCGTGATCAGGCGCCTATATTTTTCTCATTTCGCTGGACACATCCGAGACCGAGGCTGGAAAATGCGGTTTTCTTTTCCACCAGGGCTGCAGCGGCGCGAGGCACTAAGTCGGGGGGCGGGGCAGGGCGGGGCAGGGCGGGGTCGCCACCTACAAATGGTATACAGCCCGTGATAGGCACTCGTAGTCCTTCGCGCGGACTCGGACATAATTGTATGGACGAACAGCACCGCGCGGCGCGGCGCGCTCGGCGTACGGGTCTCGTCCTCAGGCGGACAAGGCCGAGCAGTTTGTTCGCGGTTGCGCCGGTGCGAGGATCCACCCGAGGCAGTGTCAAGTGCGGCACCGTCACAGTGCAGTCGAACAGATATTCCCCCCGTTTCCATGGACACGAGGACGTTAGTGTGCACCAGCGGATGAAGCTGGACCTGGGTTCGACTCCCGGCCGAGACTTCCGTTTTTGATTCCGACGTGGTTCGGACTGCACGCAGTAGCAACACTAGGTAATTGTTCCCTCCGCGCGTGCCGCCCAACAAAACAAAACAACACAAAAAAGGAAAAAAAAATGTGCTGATTGTGGCGAGTATTTGAACCCCAACCCAGATCGAGATGGACGAGCCCGGCATCGCCGACTTCTTCGAGGGGCGCTACGTGCTGGTGACGGGCGCCACGGGCTTCATGGGCAAGGTGCTCGTCGAGAAGCTGGTCCGCTCGTGTCCGGGACTGTCCGGCGTTTACATCCTGGTGCGCACCAAGCGGGACGAAGATCCGCAGCGCCGCCTCGAGAAGATCATCTCCCTGCCCGTGAGTACCTGCACGCCGCCCAGGTCGCCGTCGACGACGCGCCGCCGCGGACGCGGGGCGTGTTTACCGACTTCCAAGTATTTCGGCGGGATTGTTTCAATTGGGTGCAAATGATGGCTAATGCCGCGTGCATTTGTCACGCATTCCGATACGGCGCACAGGTGTGACTCACTTTTAATAAACTCGAATGCCCCCCTCGTCGTATTTTCACGAAAATTCTTTATTCATTGCCCGGTGGGGTCAATACTCATCGCGGTGCCGGGGAAGGGGGAGGGGGAGGGGGAGGGGGCTGAGCCAATGTCCAAGCTTAGGCATTCACCAGTGTGGCCGTAATGAGGTGACGCGATCGGCAGACCGACTCCGAGAGTCGTTTTCGTCTGTCTCTTTCGCACTTATAGGGCGTTCCGTATAGGTGCGAGAGAGACAGCGACGAAAGCGACTCTCGGAGTCGGCCTGCAGGACGACGTCCTGGCCACTCGGCACGCCCCGTGCAGCTCCTGTTCCTTCAATTGGCTTCGCTTTTCGGCGACTAATCGTTTCGGCCGGGGCGGCCAGGCTGTCATTGCATGTCATGTGCTGCCGAGCGAAAAACCGAAGGCCGTCCCGTCTGTCTAAAGGCGACGTTCTAAGTTCCAGAAATTTTAAATTTTGGATCTCATGCTTCTCAGCTTTGGCATCCAGCGTGTGATGTTTGGCTCACCGGCCTGATCGTGTGACCCCACGAATAATATCTCGTTCGGGGAGCAATCCATCGGTGGGGTCACTCGTTCGGTTCGAGTCCCATTCAGCGACTCTGGAGCTCATACCGCGTCTAGCATTTTGGCCACCTCCCCCAGTGTATCGGCCTTCTGTGCGACGCGGAGCTCGAGGAGTGGCCGCGGGGCGGCGCGCCTGCGTGGTAGGCAGCACATCGTGCGTGCGCGCGGCCGGGCTGCCTCCACGCCGGGCTGCGGCTGCGGCTGCGGCAGTGCTGCGGTCGGCTCGGGGCCGCGGGCCGCGAAGCGCGAGCCGCGGCGCGACCAGGGAGTAGGAGTCGCAGTCCCGCGCGAACAATACTGTCAGCCTTCCATCACGCGTCGTCCTGCATCGCCCTGCGTCGCCCTGCATCGCCCTGCGGCACCGCGATGAACCGGGGCCGCCGCGACCCCGCTGCCCCGCTCCGAGGAATGTCGGTCCATTTCTTCGTTGCCGTTTTCGGTCGTCTCCACGCCGCGGCGGCAAGGCGCGGTGGGGTGGGGCGGGGCGGGGCGGGGCGGGGCGGGGCGGGGCGGGGCGCGCATCCATCCTCCCGCACAACACACAGCGAAGCGCACAGCGCCCCGGGCAGCGGGCAGCGAGCGCCCCGAGCGCGGACCGAGAGTGCCGCCATGCCGCGCGGCGCCTAACAGCATCAGTCACTTCTCGGCGGGGCCGGCCGTAATGAAAAACCCCTTTACCGGCCTGGACTGGGCTGGACTGGGCTGGACTCGGCTGGACTGGGTCGCGGCGCTGAGCTGTGTTTGGCGTGGCGTGGCGCGGCGCGGCCCTAGCGAAGCGAGGTCAGCAGATGGGACGGGCGGCCGCTCTCCGGGCCGTGGGCCCTGGGCAGGACCGGGGCGGGGCGGGGCGGGCACGGGGCAGGCGTGGCCAAGAAGAGCCAAATTACTCCTCGGGAACACAGCACTTGACCACCGCACCGCGTGGCACCGCGTAGCAGCGCGCGTTGCACCCACCGGCCGTGATGAGCGAGTGCGCGGCCCCGTTGCGACCACTCGCGAAAAAATAAAAAGGAAAATGGAAACAAAAATAAGCCTGTTGTTGTTGTTGGCAGCTGTTTGACCTGGTGCGCGAGGAGGCACGCCGCAAGGTCCTGGTGGTGCCGGCCGACCTGAAGCTCAAGGGGCTGGGGCTGACGGACGCGTGGCGCAATGAGATCAAGCAGAGGGTGTCCGTCGTCTTCCACTCCGCCGCCACGGTGCGCTTCAACGACCCGCTGCGGGAGTCCGTGCTGCTCAACACCAGGGGCACCCTGGAGCTCGTCAACCTGGCCCTGGAGATGCCCAACCTCGCGGTGAGTACGGACCAACTCGTAAAAATGTTTTATTTTGTACGGTTACATGCAATGGTCATTTGGCGGTGGCTCTGCTCCAGCAGCATGTGCTAATGGGAAAGGGTCAGCCGCCACCGCCGCCCTGAAATAAAGCAATTTGGCCGCATTCTCGTTCCCCGCGGTTCGCCTTTTGCAAAGGCGGCGGCCGCTGCGGGGCGTAAAACTGCTCCTTGCGGCGGTCAAAACAAACAAAAACTCGTTGCAGTCGTTCCTACACGTGTCCACCACCTACTGCAACGTGGACCGGAAAAACATCGAGGAGGAGATCTACCCGCCGCACGCGGACTGGCGGGAGACGATCCGCATCGTGGAGCACGCCGACGAGGTGGGCCTCCGGGTGCTCACCGAGAAGTACCTCGGCATCGGGGAGCCGCGCGGCCTGCCCAACACGTACACCTTCGCCAAGTCCCTGGCCGAGCACGTCATCAACGACCACGCCGACCGCCTGCCCGCCGTCATCTTCCGGCCGTCCATCGGTAAGCAGGCGAGGCGAGCGCCTGCGGAAGGGAGGGTAGGCAACGCGCGCGCAGCCGCGTCGCGCAGGGCTGCCCGCCCTCGTCCCCGCAGGCGCCCAGTGGAGCGCCCAGCCGAACAGAAGACCGCCGCAGGCGGCCAAAACTCTAGACGCGTTTTGAGCTTCAGAGTCGCTAAACGGGGCTTGAACCGAACGTGTGACCCCACCAATGCATTCCTCGTTCGGAGAGCAATATATTGGTGGGGTCACACGTTCGGTTCGAGTCCCATTTAATGACTCTGGAGCTCAAAACGCGTCCGGAACTTTGACCACCTTCACCGGTCACCGGTCTTCTGGCCCACTGTGGAGCGACCCGGTGACGCGAACGCATGGTTCGTGTTGCAGTGATCTCCACGGACAGCGAGCCGGTGGCGGGATGGGTGGACAACTTCAACGGCCCCGTGGCGCTGCTGGTGGGCGCCGCCAAGGGCGTGGTGCACGTCACCTTGGCCGACAGGAACATCGTGGCCGACTACATCCCCGTCGACATCTGCATCAAGGCCATCATCGTGTCTGCGTGGAGGAAGGCCACCGATACGTGAGTAGCGGGCCTCGTCTCGTGAGGGTTGGCGTCGGCACGCCGAGAGAATTACCCGTGTTGTTGTCCAGCGCCGAGGAGAAGAAGAAGGTGGCCGTGTACAACTGCGCGTCGTCGTCCACCAAGCCCATCACCATGGGCGAGATGGTGGACATGGGGCTCTCGCTGCTGGAGGAGTGCCCCGTCGGCAAGGTGGTGTGGGTGCCTTCGGGGATCATCACGCCCTCCTACCTGGTGTACTACGTCCTCTTCCTGCTCACCCACATCATCCCGGCCCTGATCGCGGACGTGGCGCTCACCCTGGCCGGCCAGAAGTTTAGGTTTGTTGACAATAACGCCAACTTACAGTGTCCTAACCTAAAAACAAAAACCAGATAAAAACGTGTTATTCGAACCCCGGTCCGCAGGCTGATGAAGGTCCAACGCAAGCTGTACTTGGCCAACACGGCGCTGGGCCACTTCACGACGCGGACGTGGCGCTTCGGCAACGAGCGGATGCTGCACCTGGACTCGCTGATCCCGCTCAAGGACCGCGCCGCCTTCCGCTTCGCCATCAAGGAGCGCGAGCCCATCGACTTCTTCGAGAAGGCGGTGTGGGGCGGCCGCCGCTACCTCATGAAGACGCCGGACCACACCCTGGAGTCGGACCGCGCGCACTACCGCCGGTGCGTGGCATGCCCACTACAGTGGCCCCTCACGGCACCGCTTGGGTGCAACGCTCTGAAACCACACTGCAACGACCGTTCCTTTTGCCTGCGCAGGGTGCTGCTCGCGACACGGTTCATCAAGTTCTGCTTCTACACCGGCGTGCTGTACCTGGTGCTGAGCTCCAGCCTGGTGCAGGCCCCGCTGCAGGCCGTCCTCGAGGCCTTCGCCGGCACCTCCCCGTCGACGGCCGCCGTAGGCCTCACACTGCCGTGACGACGACAGCCACACCGTCCCCGATGCGCGCCTTTTGCGCAAGCCGCTGATTCCTCGCGGGTTTTTCTTATTTTTCAATTACAAAAATAAATAAAGCGTACCAAAAAAAAGTGCAAAACGAAAACAAGTGCAGCGTTATCTGTGTCTTCGGGCCCGCGTGAGTGCGGCGTGATGGAGATGGATTATCCAGGTCAGCGCGAGCCGCGCGAGCGAGATGGAGATAAGCCGGCGTGGGAACCGCGGCGTGGCGTGTGTGGACTCCAGGCTCCAGGGCGATGCAGACCGCGCTGCAGGCCGGGCTGCAGGCGGCAGTTCGAAGCGTCGCTTTGGCGTCGTCACGCGCCGCAAGGAGGGGGGGAGGGAGGGGGAGGCCGCAAGTAAGAGCCCCGCAGCACCCGCCCAAGGGCACCAGCCACTACGGCAAGATGCCATGCTGCCGCAGAGGAGTAGAGCGCTCCTCACAATATTTCATCGAGTTCTCTCTCTCTCTCTCTCTCTCTCTCTCTCTCTCTCTCTCTCTCTCTCTCTCTCTCTCTCTCTCCAGCCGCCGCTCTCCTCCCCCACTCCCTCAGATGCTACTGTACTGCGGAGCTATCAACTGACAGTCCTGTCGCTGCACCTCCATGCTCCACCCTCACTCACTCGTGCCCGCGCTCGTGTGTGTGTGAGTAGTCGTGCCCCGCCAGCCAAGGCCTTTTGCAAACTCCTCTTCGCCGTTCTCCCATGCGCGCGGTGCAGTGCGCGATGCTGCTGTGGTCTGGTCCAGAGTCCATCTAGCCGAGATATGAGAGACGCGAGAAACGCCGCACACTCACACTCGCTCACGCTCACCACACACACACACACACACACACACACACACACACACACACACACACACACACACACACACACGCCGCGCGCGCGCGCGCGCTCGGCGCCTCCACGCCGGCTGAATAACGTCAAGTGCATTGCATACTGCGCGCGCTTTCAATAATTTTTGCGATGCATTCAGGCCGTGGTGTGCATGTTCAGCGGCGAGGCAACCCTGAAACGGCGGTGGCGCGGCGGGCGAGGGGGAGGGCGAGGACGCCGACGAGGAGCAGGAGGACGAGGAGGCCGGCTGGGGGGCGCGCGGTAGCGGCACGGCGGCGCGTAGGTCATGACGGGATCGATCGGGTGGACGGGGATTGGGGATGCGGCTGGAATTGGCCGGCCGGCGAGTTGGTCCGCCGAGCTGCTTGCCGAGCCGAGTCCTGCGGAGTGAAGGGGAATGACGCGCTGACGTAACGCGAGCCTCCGTCTCTCTCGCACCGACACGAACCGCCCCTCGAGTGCGAGAGAGACGGGGAGACGTTCGTCGGCCGGGTGGGACGCTGCTCATCACTCACCTGCAGCTGATTGCTGCGAGCCGACCGCGCCGTGCCGCGCCGCGCAGCGCCAGCCTCGCGTCTCGCGTCCACCGCGGGCAAATATCATTGACAGTGGCGCGGACTGCGGACTGCTCGCCTGCCTTGGGGCTTTGGGAGCGTGTGGCGGCGCGGGGCGGCGCGGGGCCAGGCGTGAGGGGAGGAAGGGCGTGGGCCCGGCCCGGCCGGCGGCAGCGAGCCTTTCGTTCCAATAAGAAGAACTGTAAACCTGCCGCGATGCTTATCGTTATGCCTATACCTGTAAGTCTGTAGCCTGTTGCCTGCAGCCGCGGTGGCTGCTTGGCCTGCCTGCCTGCCTGCGCCTGCCCGCTTGGGCCCTGGGCCCTGGACATACACTACAGGCGTGGCGACACCGCGCTGCCACCTCGGCCACCGCGGCCACACAGCCCCGCATCGAGGTCGCTGGGGGCCTGCCCAGCCCAGCCCAGCGGGCCGGCGGGGACGGACGGCGCCCAAAGTACGCGCGGCTCCCACACTGCTCCAGCGACAGTGGCGCTGCAGCAGGGATGCTGCTGGGGGGAGACCAAGTCCTCCGGGGCCACGGCAGCACGGCAGTCCGTGACACCAGCGGGACAGGGCGTGTGAGGGCGAGGAGGAGCGCCTTGAGAGAGAAAGAGAGACAGAGAGATGCTGGCGTGCGATTGTGGTGGTGTGTCGAGCCTCTTCCCTCCAGAGATCTGACCTGCCTACGACCCCCGGCCGCCGCGCCGCACCGCCGCGCCGCGCGCAGCCACGCTCGTCCTAGTCCACGCTGTCGATGCCCTAAGAGCCCCACGGCGCGGCGCGGCCCGGCGTGGCGGCAGGGATTTGATGGCTGATAGTGCTCGCGCTGGCTGGACACGCCGCCGGCTGCTGCCCCTGAACCCCGTGTGCGCGTTGCTGCCCGTTGCGACCCGTTGGCTGCGCACTGCGGCGTCATTTGACCCCCGAAAGACCGCGGCGGATCGAACCTCGGCCTCTTCATGACCTCCCCGGCGACTCGGGGCTCGGGTCGTCCCGGCAGCGCGGTGCTGGTCTTACGTGGCGCTACTGCATCGCCACGCCACGCCACGCCGCGAGCCGTGCCGCGAGGCGAGGGTCCGTGAGCAAATTTGCATTGAAATGCATTTGCTGATGCCCTGGGCCCTGGCCGCTGCAGAGATGCGACTTTCACTGTGTGCCCTCTGCCATACGGTACATGCCTGGCGCGGCGTGGCCCGGCGGAGCGGGGCGGGGCGGGATGGGACGGGACCCCCAGCCACAGTCGCTACTTGGAACCGGAAGGAAGTGCAGCTGGCGAAGACCCGCACGCCGGGTGCCGCTTGCCTGCTTGCCGCTGACGTTTTTCTTTTTTTCCTTCTTCTTCAATGGACCGGGAAGAGAGTGGGAAAGGCAATGCAGTCGTGCAGGCAGTGCAGGCCCCGGAGGACGCCGTCAGCCCGTCGCCTGGCGCTTGGCCCTTCGCCCCCTCCGCCCCCATCGCCCTTCGCAACGTTGCAGGCCCTTTGGAGGCTAGGCCCTTCGCAGAGGGAGACATATAAAACCTGACACCGCAACACACATCGCGGGGCTCACCCAAGGCTCCGGGAGGCCGCGTTGCAACACACACACACACACACACACACACACACACACACACACACACACACACACACACACTGACACACTCACACAGTTTGCCTACCGTTTGTATGGTGACGCGCAGGGTCTCCGCCGCCTCGCCCGCCGCGCCCGGCCGCCGGCCCTGCGCAAGGCGTCCCGTCCCGTCCCGCCGCGTACATCGTGAGGGCATCTCTCTACATGGACCATGGACGCTCTATGATTGACACTCGTCTCGTCACGACGGCGTGCGGGCCGTACAAAGAGGCCCGTCGGACATGACGCACACACTCACACACTCTCACACGGCGTGCGGTAAATGACGTCAATCGAACCGTGTACGAATTTTAAAGCGATTCCCTTCCGGAAAACGGCGTTGCCGTCGAGTTAACGCACGCGCTATTCCGGTCGGCATGTTACTCGCCTTACGTGCCGCCGTGCCTGCGTCCCGGCGTGCCATGTCCATGTCGGCGTGCCGGGTCGGTGGGTCGTCCTGCCGGGTTCGCCGCCTTGCTGCTGCTGCACTGCAGGGCGCTATCGGTCAAATCCCCGCAGGTGTGCCAGGCCAGGCCCTTTCCCCGCGGCCTATTTCGTCCCCTGCTTGGCGCGGACGGGGACTGGCGGCCTGGGGAACGCGCTGCCCCTCGCGGCGGCGATGGCGGCGGTGCATCAGATGCGCGTCCCCGCCCGGCCCGGCCCGGTCCGGCCCGGCCGCTAACACGCTGAATGGGAAAATTGATCCAATGGGTGCAGTAGTGTCGTGCCAGTGATGAAACGTGTCTGTGTGTCGGTGCGAGCGCGGCCGCCTGATTTACCCGAGCGGACCGGCACTCGCCGCACTCTGCTCCCGTTCGGCCCCATCCATGTATCTGTCCGCCCGCCTTTCGCCTGTGCCTGACTGATGTACTGATGCCTGCGCTGCTGCACAGGCGCGCGCCTTCCAGGAACACGAGCCGAACGAGTTCTTTGCTGCAAATTCATCCATTCCGAGTCGTTTACGTGGAGCACGCCGTCAACGCCGAGCCGCGCTATTCGACAGCCTTACCTGAGATGTTTTTACGCCGCGGGTCCTTGCGCCCTCTTGGTCGTGGTGGCGATCGTCGTCGTCGTGGTCCTCCTCCGTCGTCGTGATCCTCGTCGTCGTGGTCCTCGCCGTCGTCGTGGTCCTCGCCGTCGTCGTGATCTTACTCGTCGTCGTGGTCCTCCTCTTCGTGGTCCTCGTCGTCGTAGTCCTCCTCAGGGACGCGCCGATGTTTGCGCCGCTCCTCGCCCTTCACGTGGCCGGCCCAGCCAGCCCAGCCAGCTGGAGGCTAATCCACCTTATCATTCCCATTGTACGCCGCGCGTACCTTGGCGTGCCGTGCCTTGCCGTGCCGCACTCGGTGCTCTTGGCACTCCTGTCGACCACCGGCAGAAGGCGGGAGGGGGAGGGGCACATGTAACCGCGTTATCTAAAGCGACACATTGTAAGTACCGCACACGGCAGCACACACATACACACACACACACACACACACACTCACACACATGCCTCGGCGCGCGAGAATGGCTCCTTATTGCTACCGTACGTTGGCTGCCGCCGTTGGCCGCGTTGGCCGCGGCGGGGCCGTCGTCGTCGTCTCCGACGCGATATCGTATAAATTATCGCGGCGCGTTACCATCCGCATCGGTATCGCTTTGGCGACATACTCTTAGCAAATTCACGGGCGTGGCTCTCGTTTCTCGTCCGCGCGGGGTGCGGCGGGGTGGCGGAAAGGGCGGGGAGAAAGTAAACGGTGTAGTCGCTGTCGGCGACACGGCGTGGCGGCCGCCCGGCTTGGCGCACTCGCGTTATTGGGCGTGTTTCTGCACTGCTTTTTCACGGCGGCCGATCACCGCCTGCATGTTGAGTGTGTTGTTGTCGTCGCCGAGGGTTCAAATCGCCACGCCGCCGCCGCCGCCTGAGCCGCCAGATAGCAAAACGGCGAGGGAGGGGTGGGGGAGGGTGCGCAATGCAGATAGGAAAATGGCAACGGGCATAGCGTCCGCGCAGAACTCACTTCCAGCTAATCGAAGGCATCTCTGAAAGCGCGTGTCGGCCAGGGGGCCCAGGGCCGCGGGCCTAGCCCGGCCAAGCCCGGCTAACG